CTGATCTCCATTTCCGTCTATGCCTACCTGGCCGCCTGTGGCGGTCAATTCATCATCCAGTACGGCATCTACTTTTTCGTCCTGTCCGGTGACACCCACGCCTTCCGCTCCGGCGTCATCCTGGTCTGCATTGGTCTCTTTGGAAGCTTGCTCACTCCGCTGTACACCGGTCGAGTCGGCAAGCGCGTCATCCTCACCGTTGCACCGATCATTGGCGGATTTTGCATGCTCGGAATGGGTATCGCATATACGGTCCGGGGCTTGGACAAAGTGGGAGGCAACACTATTCTGGCCATGTCCTTTATCTTCATGTTCATCTTCGCCGGTGCCATTGCCCCGTTTGCCACCCAGGTCTCGGCCGAACTTCCCAGCCAAGAACTCCGTGGTCACACCCTGGGTCTTGCCTCCGCCATCACCTATCTCGGTGGCTGGCTCCTCACCTTTACCGTTCCTTATTTCATCAACCCGACGGCGTTGAACTGGGGTGGCAACTACGGATATCTCTGGGTACCGTTCAACTTCCTGATCGCCGCCTTTACCTTCTTCTGTGTGCCTGAAACCAACAAACGCACGTTGGAGGAGATTGACGAGTGCTTCGTGCAAGGGGTCCCGGTCCGCAAGTTCTCCTCTTATGAAGCTGTGGCCTCCCGACAGGCACGAATGGACGTCATCAAGAACCACCGGAAAGCGGGTGAACAAGTTTGAGAGACAGTGAAGGCCGGGGAAAGTTCAGATGGATGATCGACGGCGCCGAGAGAAGAAAAGCAAGTGTGGAATACTAGTAGTCCTGTACGCAGAGAGCAGAAACCATCGGAAAGAAATTGGACTGTACCCTCAGTGGTCATGAAACAGCGAAAAGCAGACTGTACTCGTGCGCTTCGTTGCGACTAGCTGGTTAATAAAATTCAAGACATAGTGCAATTTGTTGATGAGAATACCATCCTCACCACACCATAACACTTTTGCCTGCTGATATCCCAGCCTTGCATCATTTGCAGGTACGCTCTCTACTTCACAGCTACATGCTTTGCTGCCCAATTCTGTGACCTTTTCGGGATTTTCAGCGTCTCGGATATGGGTCGTGAGTTGGATAAGGGCATATCTCCACGACTTGTGGTATGTTGCGAATACCATATCAAACACATGCCCATCGATGGGCGGTTTTCCGACCCCATTCCCCCCTGACCGGATTCAGTATAGACAGATGGAGAGGTCCCTAGCCTGGAAAAGCGCTCTAGACCAGGCTATGGATGACGCGCACACGAATGCTCGGGCCAGTTTTTCTTGTCCCCACAATCATGCCTTAGTATGTCATTTGTGCGAGGGGGATGCGTGCATGCAAGCTAGATCCGATGCACGTCGAAATTGACCGGGCTCCATAACTCGTGAACCAAGCGTTTCCTGCACCTTTCCCCGCAAACTCGACCACTCCAGATTTGCCCACATGAACCCCACATCCGGCTTAGCCCATTGAGTGGGGAGGGGGGAATCCGGTCGCGGTGTCTTCGATCAAAGCCCGTGCTCGAACGTCGTCCCATGATGCGTCGATTTCTGCTGGAGCCAAAAGACCACCTCGCCAGCGGCATAACCACGGCACTATCTTCGGAGGCAGAAGACGAACCGTAGAAATTGTAATCTACGCGGGTTTTTGGGACTGGGACGCTGACATTTCACCGTTACCGACACCATGGTTGCCCCCGCACAAAATGGCGATGCCTCGCCGCTCAAAGTCACTATCGTCGGTGGCGGGATGGGAGGCTTGTCGTGCGCTATCGCATGCAAAGTGCAGGGTTTCGAGGTCAACGTATACGACCAGGCGGTAGAATTTCTGCGCATCGGTGACTCGATCGGGCTGGGGTCGAACTCGGCTCGCCTGTTCCATCGATGGGGTGTTGGCAAGGAGCTGGAGAAGATTTCGACCAACTTGCCGGGAGTCGAGATCTACAACTTTGAATCCTCAGAGAAGATGCTGGGATTCGATGCCCAAAATGGAGAAGCCGAGGAGAAATACGGCTATCCCGCATTGATCGGGCATCGCGGGGACTTCCATCAGATTTTGGCCGACTATGCCGTTGCAATTGGCGTCAACCTCCATATGGGCACTGCCATATCGAGGTACGACAACACCAAGCCCAGTGTCATCCTCGAGAGTGGCGCAGAGGTTGAATCCGACGTGGTCATTTGCGCCGACGGGGTCAAAAGCAAAGGCCGCGAGACGGTTCTGGGCTACGAAGACCGACCCTTACACAGTGGCTATGCCGTGTACCGCGCGTACATGCCCGGCGAGTTGCTGAAGGGAGACGCCCTCGCCAGTAAGTTTCTGGACAAGAACACCATTCGCCTGTTTATTGGACCGGACATGCACGGATTCGTCACGACTCTGCGCGATGGCAAAGAAGTCAACGCCGTCCTGACACACAAGGACGAGGCGGACATCGAAGAAGGGTGGAACAAGCCCGGCGATATTAAAGATGTTTTGCAACTGACACACGACTGGGATCCAGCTTTTCGTCGCGTCTGGGAATTGATGCCTCCTGAAAACCTGATTGACTGGAAACTGATCTATCGCCCATGCTTGCCCCAGTGGGTGTCCAAGACCGGCCTGGTGTGCCTGATGGGTGACGCTGCTCACCCGTTCCTACCCACATCCGTGCAGGGGGCGAGTCAAGCCGTGGAAGACGGCGCCACCATCGCCAAGTGTCTTGCAAAGGCGGGCAAAGGCAATGTTCCTCTAGCGCTGAATGTTTTCTTCGAAATCCGACACGATTACGTCGCCACCGCGCAGTCGACCGGCATCAAGCAGCGTGAGACGTGGCACAATCTCCACGACAAGGACACCAAGTCGTTCAGGGACGAATTTGACCTGAACGCGGTATCCATGTCCAACTTTTATTTGTGGGAGAATGACGCCGAAAAGGTGGTGGATGATCGATGGGACGAGCTGGCGGCGAAATTGAAACCATGAACTGGCGCATAAGACGAGAACTGGAAGCTGGGCCGCACATATGGAGTGTTTGATTTCAATAGATCATACCAGTCTTGTAGTTAATAGCAGCAACATTGTATAGCGATTCTCGCGTCTCATATCGTGGGCATCTAAACGGGGATCACTCAGGAAGCATATCTGCTACATATCAAGTCATGTTCCTCCGCCTGCGTGAGCGAGTCCTCAGAACTATGGTGTATTGGAGCATCATGCAGTCACATTGTCCCCGAGCCAGAAAACTAATTTGTCGCTCAGAAATCAAGGACTGGGATCAACCGGCCGTCTCCAGCGTTCAGCCGCACTCTGTACAGATCATTCTCCACGATCGCGTCCCGTTTCTGCTCGTATTCCTCTAACGGGATCGAACTGTCCACATAACGTCCGGACATGAAGCCGATTCTCCCGCTCGCCAACGCGGTGATCATTCCCGCGGCCATGTAAGGGGTGTCGAATGTGCTCTTCCCCAGGAAATTGACGGCATTCTTGGCGGACTTGTCTTCGCCCTCGGCACCCTCCACAATGTAGGATCTCTCCTTCGTTCGACCCTCGGCCTTGTCCTTGAAATCGTAGAAGAAGCGTGTCTGGATGACCCCTGGGTGGATGGCAAATGCCTTGATGTTGTGTTCACGAAAGTTCTCGACGTGGATGATCTCGGCCAATCGAACCATGCCCAGCTTGGCGACGATGTAGCTGCTCACGCCTCTGTTGGAGTGCGCACCGGCACTCGAGGTGAAGATGATCGTTCCACCACCCGTCTTCTGCATCACAGGGAGGGCGAGACGGCTAAAGTTGTACGCCCCTCGGAGCGACACTCCCACGGTGTCCCACCAGATATCTAGATCGCCTTCTGCGGTCGGCAGCCACTGTGGTGGTCTGCCGGCGTTCATGGCGATCACGTCGATGCTTCCGAACTCTGCGACAAGCTCGTCCAGGAACTTGCGCACAGCATGGTGGTCCTGCACGTCAAAAGCGCCGGTCTTGGTCTGCAGCGCGGGATCGACTTCCCTGCACAGCTTGGCCGTTTCCTCCACCTCGTCCTGCTCGAGCGCGACCAGTGCCAGCGATTTGAGTCCACCGTAGCTCAGAAGTTCGGCACATGCTCGTCCGATGCCGCGGCCGGCTCCAGCAACGACCACATTTTTGCCGTTAAGGTCTTTGGCCAAATCTTTGTTGACGCGAGGGTCGGTGCCGAGATAACAGTCGTGCAGTTTTCCCAAGAATCGATCTAACTGCTTGTTGGTCATGGTTGCGGAGTGTGGACTAGGCTCTGCCTTCGCGTTGCTGTAGTTCAATTGTCAGGGGAGCCTCATGAACTGGGCCGAGGACAGCATACAAATAAAGGGTCCCTCCACACTCGGCCCGTTTCCCCAGAGGCACTTTGGATCCCACAGACCAGAGACACTCAATTGTGGATCATCCGCACGTAGTATCCGATGTAATGCTTGGCGCCCAGACTCCATCCTCCCTTCAGAGACATTCGAGGGATTGCAGTCCACTCAGATATTTCATGATATATCAATCACGTTGCCACACCCGCAATAGGATGTACTGCTAACATCATCTTTCCACCTCGTTGGTTCATGAGTAAGATCCCTCTGTTCCATGGGCGTTCTCATCGCAAATGAGACCGATGAGGTTCAGATCAAGTGCACTGCAGTGAATGGTGACAGCTCCGCCCTTCCTGGAGCTCCCCACATGCCGCTGCATGGCAAACGATGTTCGGGTGACTCATCGGTCGCTGTCTCATGGTGCACATCCGGCTCTTTAAGCAATCAGAGGCTTGGCGAAACATCTCCCGTGGCCACCACCCCGTGAGCCCATGTCTGTGAGACAACTCCTACAGCTGGACCAATTGCGGAAGCCGGACTTCCCCGAGACTCGGAGTCGTTTCGCATTTCCCGGTGTTCGGAGACATCTGGCCCCACGGAGGTCTTGGCCTAGATTTGCTCTGGCAGGTGAAATGGCGAATAGTCAGTCCAGTTGTTGATATAGTCACAATCTCGAAGGGCGTGACGACGAACATACCGCAGTCAGCGTCGTTGTGATACTTCCTCTCAAGTGGCCAGGAGTCCAGCACCCAGAGCGCTTTTTTCAATCTCGCTATGTCAGTAGCAACTGGGCCGTCGAACGGGGAGCCTGTCAATGGGCTCCATTCAAGTCGGACAGAGCGACTTGTAAAATGGGCACATTCTCTGTCTTGCGACGATTTGCCCGCCGATGCAGTTGAACGATGCAAAGCCTTTTTCATCGACTGGCTTGCTTGCGCTGTGGCGGGGAGAGATCACCCTTCAGTCAAAGCGATGGTGGAATATACCCAAGCCATGGGTCCATCCACGGGCAGGTGTGAGGTGGTGGGATATCCTGGCCTCACCACCAGCGCAGCTTTTGCTGCACTCGTCAACGGAGCGTCATCGCACGTGGTGGAACAGGATGATCTTCACAACAGCAGCATGATGCACCCGGTTGGTCTTTGGAGACTTTCCCATCCTCTGGGGTGTCTAGAAGATGTAGAAACTGTGGCTGACCTCAAAGGGGGTGTCTAGGCTACGGTGATATATCCCACAGCAGTCGCTGTGGCTCAGGATGTTGGCGCAACAGGGAAAGAATTCATCACCGCATGCGTGGTGGGCTACGAATTCGCCTGTCGAGCGGGCGAATTTCTGGGCAAAGCTCACTATGAAGCAAGGCCACCCCTTTCCTTCTCAAGCCTTGACAACCTCTATTGGGTGGTATAGATGGATTTGCTGACAGGTATTTAGAACTTCCACACGACAGCAACGACGGGCGTTCTCGGGGCTGCAGCCACGGCTGCTTACTTGCTTCGCTTGACTCCGGACCAATTTCTATCGTCCATCGGAACCGCGGGGACTCAAGCCGCCGGTCTCTGGCAATTTCTGCTGGACGCTACACATTCCAAACAGGTGCACACGGCGCAAGCCTGTGCCGGTGGTGTCTTCTCCGCCTACGTGTCACGTTCCGGTCTGATGGGTCCCCACGACATCCTCCAAGGTCGCCGTGGCATGGCGGCAACTCTGGCATCAGTTGACCCAGACCCGTCGTTCATCGACGCCCAACTGGGGAAGAAATGGTCCGTGCTGGAGTCGAGTTTCAAATGGCACGCCTCATGTCGCCACACCCACCCGTCCGTGGACGCGTTGTTAGCCTTGATGGAGGAGGAGAAGATCGCTGCTGGCGACATCGAATCCATCACAGCGCACACGTACCAGGCGGCAATCAATGTGCTGAGTTTGAGTGCCGCCGGCGAGACGGTTCACCAGAGCAAGTTCTCCATGGGTTTTGTGTTGGCGGTGGCGGCAAAGAATGGGTCTGCGAAGATCACCGATTTCACCGAGCAGGCCCTTTTGGATCCTGAGCTGCGGGCACTGCAGAAGAGAGTCACCATGGTCTTCGACCCCGAGATAGACGCAGTGTTTCCGGCCAAATGGCTCGGCAAGGTGATCGTCACGACCAAACAAGGCCGTACCGTGTCAAAGAGCGTCGATGTAGTCAAAGGGGACCCGGGCTGGACGTTGACCAAGTGAGTTTCATATACATACACGTCTAATGTGACGTTCTGCCGCCATGCTAACGGTCTCTTGCCACAGGGATGAGATTGAAGCCAAAGCCATATCACTGGCCCGCTATGGCCATGTTCGGGATCTGAGTCTGTTTGAGGCCACTGTTCGGAAGATTTGGAGGTTGGAAGCTGAGAAAAAGATAGAGGGCTTGGTCTTCTCATGAAACACCATCATGTGTTGATGTACCGTAGGAGGCTACAAACCTTATCACCTTGAGTGTCTCGATGAACGTGTCATTTCTACCCACGCCTATGTCACTGGTCACCACAAGAGCACATTGCCGACCTCGGGCGGTCCAGATATCTGAGTTGTCTCTCCGTTCTCCGTGATTGGTCCCGTTCGACATGACTTTAATTCAACGTTTCACGTTTAGATCAAGCATTTTGATCCATTGGAATTCGCAAACTACTTGTTTACAGGCAGGTCACGAGCAGGAATTTCCACATCCAGCAATGGAGCATGCAGCTGTGCCCCGAACGTGTCCCGCTCACCAATACTGCCTTGCAGCCAGGGTCTTTTGAACGTACACTTCCACGCCAACGCAGGCTCAAAGAACATGCAGATGATGATCTCCTCTCTCGACTTCAATTTGTAGATATCTTGGATGAGTTGCGGCCCCAGCACCTCGGATTCTTTGGCCCGATCAAAGTCCGCCTGACTCTGGAATAGGATGTCCAATGTGACCTCGAAAGGACCGGAATTCTTCGAGCGGACCACGTACGCCATGTCCCGGACAGTCTGCTCCACACGGCCAGAGGAGGGTGTTCGCAGGTTGGGATCTGTTGTATTTGCAGGGCCTCCCTTCTTGGTTTGCTGGACTACTTTGGGAAGGGGTGCCAATTTTCGTGGTGCGACTTGTTGGTTCCCAGCTGTTGTCTTTTTGCCCACGATCGACACTGACCGGGGGAACAGGGAGGTCGGATCGTCGACCTGCATGAGGTGGTAGATGCTGAACTTGAAAACTGGCCCCAGGGGTGACTCCAACGGTGTCAAGGGTGAAGCGACGTTTCCTGCCGTCGCCAATTGACCCTCGTAGGCTCCGTGCAAGAGTGCAGTCCTCGAGAAGCCGGCAATAGCATCGGCGATATCTTGAGAGGGACCAACGGCCTCTCCCAGAACGCCAATTTCGTGGGGAATGCTCTTGTCTGGCTCCAGTTCTTCCATGACCGCATTCTTGCCGTAGAGATGGAATATCAGCTGTGGGCCCCTCTCAGTCCCCAACTCGGGAAATTGCTCGGTCGTATATCGCCTGACAGTCTCGAGAAACGAGTCGATGCCGGCAATCAGAACCGGGTCTCGGATGCCGGCGATGTAGGTCGTCCGAAAACCCAGGTGCTCCGCTCCTTCGAGTTTGATTTCATATGCGGGAGTAGGAACAAATCGTGACCCCTGGACCAGCACACTTCGGCCATCCTCTTGTTCGGTGTAGGTACATTTGTCGAGATGGAGAACCCCTCCTGGTCCTGGGAGCTGGTCTGGTCGTGTTTTCTCGTACAGGGTATGAGCTGAGACCGACACGGATGTGCAGCGTCCCTCAGTTGGGGTCAGAATGAAGGAGTCTTTGAGCATGGTTGCTACGATGGAGCGTCCCTTGGGCGTTGCGCATAGCCCACCGCATTCGATGATCTTACCCACGTGCCACGACGGACTCACGTCCACTCCCTTGTACTGACAGTAGGCCGCGAACGGCGCTGGATCATACGATCTCCCTGCAATGATGATGTCCACGTCTTCATTCTTCAAGACCTCGAGGAAGGGCTCGGCACCCATTTGGGCAACGATCTGGGTGGCATTGACAATGTCTTCCTCCTTCAGTGGGGGGCTTGAAGAACAAGACTTGGTCTTGCCGGTGCGAAACTTTTCCAAAAACGTCGAGCGGTCGTCGTTGAATTTGATTTTGGCTACTTTGAAACTCCAGTTGTTCAATCCGGCGATCCCTTCGATGAGGTCCACCAAATGATCCACTTGCTCGTTTCTGCCAGCGCCGCCCGCAGAACTGACGATCACTTTGATCTTGTAATTTGCACATGCTTCTAGAAACGGTGTGATATCTCGGGTTATCGATGCGTCGGAGCAGAGTCTCTTGCCGGTCCCTAGCATGTATGGACCAGGATCGGTCGACCCGCCGTCTGCTATGATCGCCTCGGGCGCATCCTGAAGCACCGTGTGCCAGAACTCGTCCAGATTGTAGCCATACCCTATTATGGGGGTAGGTGCAAAGATCTTGAACGGGCGAAATGTCGACATGGTTCTAAAGGAAGTCTCTTGATATGCTCGCTGCCAAAATGAACCAAGGATGCTTCGGCGGCAATGCGATCAGGTTGGACGCCGTTGAGTATCTCGCGTTATTGAAATCTTCTAAATACCGGTACGAAAGCACTCAGCCTACCACCCCACCATAGTTCACAGGTTCTACTGAGATCACAGAGACCGATACCGGAAAGACGAGCGTTGCGAGACCATCCCGACCGAAAAGGTTGTGTAAGGCGCCACGGCGGCGTTGCATGTGGGGCAGGATGAACTGTTCGAGACTTCGTGAGCATGGTTCGGAATTTGATCCACACGTTCGGTGTGCACTGTCCCAGCGCCCTTGGAATGTTCCGCATACTCTTATTGCTGATGATTTATACAGATCTTCATTGTTGTTGACTTAGGTACTCCAATCGAATTCAGAGAACGGCTTCGTCGACTACGTGAACCGAATGTGTGTGGTCTTCAAATGCAAAGCACAAAATATCGCTTGCTACAGGATGGAAGTGGAAAGACTGGGGGCAAGAGGGATTCACAGACTTGAGGCGGCTCAGGTATAAACAGCACGAGATTGAATTCTAGTCCAGAAGCTCGCAATTCAGTACTAGCTATATCAGGGTAGTGCAGCTTTATACAGCATATCAAACACACTAGACGGATTTGGTTCGACCTGACATAAGATAGAGGTCCTGTCGGAAGTCAGATTGAAACTTGAAGTCATAACGCCAGCCATTTACCAACAAGGGTTGGGACTGGGTATGCGCATCTCTCGACATGCTGTTATATCGGGTGAAGCATCACGCGAGCGAGATCATCCACCTACCTGCAGCTAGTCTTATGATCTTCGAGGCAATGGCAGGACTTGGGCAGGACGAACCCGGTGAAGCATGTCATCAGAAGACCGGTCACCGTCGTCTCTTCATGCAGAAGCCCGTCGCTGCAGTGGGCCACTCCCCACTTTCTCACACAGACCAATCAGGACCGCATGTGGAGTAGGAGGCTCTCGATGGAATCCCATCTCGAGGGAACACCACCCCACACGCCTCTCGTGGATGGCAATTTCCAAATACCGGGTACTTGTAAATTCCGCTGCCGAAGAGGTAAATCTCTCTGTTTTGCCGACCTCGCAACGTACTCTCGATTGAACCAATCGGAAAGCTGAAGCGTTGCTCATCCAAGCGATACAGCTTAAAAGTCCACCCGACACCGTCGAGTTCTCTTTTGTGTAGTATGCTCAGATCTGCTGCAACTGGCAAAACTGCTACAATAGAATGGACAGCATACAGCCGTCCGCCGATAAGTCGGTTGTTCTTCAAGCCCTGACCTTTGTCAAGGCACATTTCATTCTCGTTGCTTTCTTGTCCATCATCCTCCGAGGATTGTACAAGCGATATGCTTCTCCTCTGAATGATATTCCAGGCCCATTTCTGGCATCGTGCACCAGACTATGGAAAGGTATGGGAGAATCAACCAGTTTCTGCCTTGACCTCGTCTAACGGTCCAACCACAGTATGGAGTACGTACAATGGCCACACCGAACTCGATCACATCGCTCTGCACAAGAAATATGGTAGGCGCTTATGTCACTCGACCTCAGGGTGAGTTGTGACGAGAGCTGACCGAAGCAGGGCCAATAGTTCGGACTTCGCCGAATGAGGTGTCTTTTGGGACCTGCACTGCAGCCAAGGACATCTTTGCAGTAGGCAAAGGCTTCCACAAGACTATGTTCTACAGTGTTTTCCCACCAAAGGTGTGTGTGTGCCAGTACCACAGAAACCTAGTCGCGTGTCAGGCCTAACCAAGTTTACAGCACGCGCCAGATATCTTCACAGAAGTCCGGGAATGGAAGCATGCGCAAATGAAGCGCTACGCTGTCACTCCTTACAGTTTGGCCCAGATGCAGAAGCGATCAGGTCCGATCGAGAAGATGATCCTGCTCCTCATGGAGCACCTGGACGCATATGCCGGGAACTCAGGTAGGATCTGCAACCTGGGGAACTTGTTGCACTACTTTGCTTTCGATGTAAACGTATTCGCGACTCTAGATGTTCGTCCTTGCTTCTAACGACGGAAAAGGTACTAGGAGAGGTGGCATTCTCCAAACAGTTCGGTTTCTTACAAGCCGAAATCGATGTCGAAGGTTCGATCAAGAATATCGACGACGTCCAATGGTACGACGGTATCGTCGGCCAAATACCTGAGACCGATATCCTCTTTCGAAACAATCCTCTCCGCCCTTATCTACCGTTCTGGAAACCGAGTCCAACCACAATGACCAAGATCGCCGTCGAAGAACTCGGGAAACGAAAACAAAAGGACGGCACGTACGATTCCGCGGGAATCGATCTCCTAGCAGAATTGCTGAGGGCTCATCATGAGAATCCGGACCGATTTAGCGTGCAGGATGTATTCAGTATCGCGCACGGAGCTGTGTGAGTTCTGATATCAGAGTGCGTCGGTAGGCAACTCTTGAGATACTAATGGTTGACCCTTAGTTTCGCTGGTTCCGATTCCACAGCATCGACAATGCAGTCGTTCTTCTACATGGTCCTCAATAATCCACAAGTTTATTCGAAGCTACAAACGGAAGTCCAGGACGCACAGAAGTCAGGCCAACTCTCAGAGATCGTGACCTATGCCGAAGCTCAGAAACTCGAATACTTTCAAGCTTGTCTCAAAGAGACTTTCCGAATACGACCTGCAGTCGGACTAGGTATTTACCGAAATGTACCTCCTGAGGGAGTCATGATTGGGGGCAGGTATTATCCCAAGGGGACGGAAGTCTCGGTCAATGGATGGGTCCTCCACCGTGATAAGACCATCTTCGGAGACGACGTGGAGGAGTTCCGGCCTGAACGATGGCTCGAACGTGACGCGAAATTAATGACTGGGCATCTATACAATGTACGTTCGGGCATTCGCGACATCCAACACCATTGGTTCAAGGCTAACTTCAAACAGTTCGGTGGTGGGAGTCATCTCTGCATTGGCCGGAACCTTGCGCTCTTCGAGATGAACAAGGTCTTGATCCAGATTCTAAGAGAGTATGACATCAAACTCGTGCACCCCGGTCGACCATTGGAGTACCACTCGACCTTCTTTGTGGTGCAGGAAGGGCTTGAGGTCTATCTGAAGAGGCAAAGCGAGGGGGGCTTCTGAGGGTAAGAGATGAAAGGTGGGAACGCTGTTGCTCAGACCCTCTCGCCACACAGGGCTCCGATCGAGAACACCAAGTTCTCAAGTCGTGTGCGCCTGTAGTAGACATGGATTGAACGAGAGACCGCGAAAGTCGCTATGCCCATGGCGACAGAGTTGGCAATGAACTTGCATGAATGACCCAAACGATGGATCAGATATCTCAACACAGCCTCGGAAGATGCCCGAACACTTTCTGATGTTCTACATAGTAGTTATGTCTGAAGCATGAAAAATGCCTAGAAGCGTACATTGCGATCGCGAACAATTGCTAGTACAGTACTACTTTGTCTTCAATAGGGTGATTTTTGAGGTTGGTTGATGACTGACCTAACTATTCCGTTCAACCACCGTGTCTACCGATACTGGGATGAAATCGCGTTTCACTAACCTACAAGTTGGCTGGCATTGAAGTATATAGAAGCATGTATATAGCCTCTATTCACCTCTATTCAGCATGTAATCTCTGCACCTGCATAGAGGTTCAAGACAGTGATAACGATAAAGGCGATAGTGTCAAATACTGCTAGAGACAAAAGGCTGTGGGGTTTTGCTGTGGTCAAAAAGAACTTCTCTTCCTCTGGGACCATGTAGGAAATGTTTATGAGATACACAAATCGGTACAGCGCTTCATGACCAAACCGGAACGAGGTTCCGAAGCGAGACGATGCATCGCCATCGATCGCTACTTTATGGAATTTCCGGAACTGAAATGGCTCAAAGAAGATCCTCCAACATGGATTGCAGAGACTAAATGGTATGCTTCTGTGGTCCTATTGCCCTGGGATGATATCGTACCAGATATCTTGTCTAAGGACCTCGCCGAGTGGTTGCTTGAACCCGCCCAACAACTCCTGAGACGTTGTTGGGCTTGGAACGAAGACCGATTGGCGATAGATGTTGGGCAAAAATTCAGAGAGATCAAGCAAGTGGAAGCTGATCCGAGCTTTCACAACATCAGCGGAGTGCAGAGCCATAGTCGATGTCTCTGCAGATATTTCGACGGTTTCAGAGCTAACAGCTCCGATATCCACTGTCTTTTGAACCCAACAGCGGATTGAAAGTCAACAAGGAACGATTGGATAAAATGAGAAGGTCGGCTCGTGGGGAAGAGATAGCAGCAGAAGCGTGACATTCCTCCCAAGTCGCCTCTTCTGATTTTTGGGTTACAGATGTTTCTAGTGTCAAGCATGCTACGCCTAAATATTACATCCATTCCCCGGCATATCTCTTCAAAGCTGCGTAGTACCTGGATATATTTGTTGCACATCTTTAAATGGTTCGGGCTCAAAACTGCGAGAAAAACATGAGTGGAAGGCGCCGTTGTCCTCTGATTGTTGGTGGAGAAAGACGAGCAGCGACAGCAGATCATGCAGCATCATCGAGGTTGGGAGTGACGCAGTTGTGGCTTGAATTGATCCCCGTCGAGGCTAAACAAAGAGGAAAGGTTGGTTGATGGGTTGTGGATAAGCGCCCGGGCACTGGAGATGATGCCCGGACATTGGAGGCTGCAGCGAGAGATCGCCCTTAGCGGAATGGCGATCCACTAGAAGAGGCCCTAATGGCCCCTGTGGTAAGCCCCCTCGGCCCAACGCTTGGGTGTTGCTAGGCAATCCTTATCGATACTCACTCGGGCGACGATCCATACAGCGAGATTAGCATACGTATGGGATGGATTTGCAACAGGACTTCTATGATTGTCCCACACCAGTGACCAGATTAACGACGAGACCGGATATGCATTGGTTGAACGAAGACTGGTCGACCTTGTCACAAAAAGTATCGCAGATGGGCTGGTTAGTTGGCTGGTGTCTCATTTGAGGCTGGGTTTCAGGTATTGAAGTTTGGAAGGAGAGTACTGGGTAAAGAAGGTAGGTAGATACCTACTGTAGGTGTCCACCTACAGTACCAACCTTAAGGGAAGGGAGAAGATAGCCGCCAACCTCGCCCAAATGCCATTGTCTGCCTGAATGCCCTACCTATGTGAGTACCTACCTACCTACCTAGGTACCTAGGTGTTGTGAGGACCTACTTAGTCATCTGGCGTACCTGCCTGGTTCCTGGTGCAAGGAGAATGGTCACACCTTCCTGGAATAGATATAAGAAATGACGACGTGCTCCTTCCTTCTTTCTACATCCATACATGGTTTATCACGTGTCTAACAACCTCCCGCCAACAATCTCATCTCCATTCACATTGCATGTAGTACGGTTGTATAACATCTCTTTAAGCGGATCGAGGAATACCAAGACTCTGTTACACGACATGTCAGAGCGCATGGATATAAATACTACTTCTCATCTCGAATCAAGCTCAATCTCACATGTCATGCTCGTATTCGTTCTATCTGTGGCTGTCTAGTTATACTCATATACACAGAATATAGTGGTGAGATAATCCCCGACATCTGTGCTTGTGCTTGTGCTTGTGCTTAGATAAAGTCTACATGAACGAGATAAGCACTTGGTTCGTGTGTCCGTCCCCACCTGAGTGACACACCAACGGTTTTTACCCATATGGTCGACTACTCGTACTTCTTGCCAACAACCAAAAATCAAAGTGGTGACCGGCTTGCCATGTGGCTCGCCTTCTCAGGCCAGCGATACGCACGCATACTGTACGCCCGTTGTTGAGCGGTCGGGATTCGTTATCTAAATCTGACAAGCTCGAAACTGATAAGCTTTACTCACTTCAACTTCCTTATCAGGGGGTGGTTGAACGGGAGCGCCCCCGGCCACTATTTCGACAACGGTCAGACGGCATGTACATATGGAAACAAGATCAGGATTGGCCGACAAGTTCGAGACTGGTTGTCGGGATGGTTTGCGAAAGATGCAGATGAGCCGGAGGTCATTTAAGCTAGCAAACAAGCGTAGCCAAGGGGAGATGGTACAATCTTGACTTGGATTGCCTCATATCCACTTTCCCCTCTCCTGACATTGATTGGGATGGCGAGGTCTATCTTTGAGCATCGCTTCTCCAATCATGGCCTCCTCGGTCCCTTTTTTTCCCACCTTCCTAAAGTCGATAGTAACTTTGTTGTCGTCCTGGATGTTTCGATTCGACGGGACATCGGTCAACAGCGGCATGAACTTCTCTCTCGCTGTTACTTTCAACACTAGTGCGTCCCGGGCGTGTGGGTGAAACTGATAACTGCTTGATGCTTGATGCACCACGGAGCTTGCGTGCAGAGAGCTAAACGGCCGACATCCCCCTCGCTTAAGTCGTCACGCTGGAGATCTGAGTCTCTCTTGCGATTGCCTTTAAAGCGGTCATCTCCTCGTCCATCATGTCCGCCCCTCGACTCTTCTTCAAACTTCTTCACCTAGACCATTCTACCTGGTAGCAGAGCCGTCTCCTATAATGGCCACTTCACGCCAAGGTAGCGTTACCGTTATCGGTGAAGGCAAGCCCGCAGTGACGTCTGTCTTCGCCGATCGAGGAGACAATGTGGTGTTTGAGGAGGGAGCCACCATTGACGACCAGACTTTGGGTGCCTTGGGATACAAGCAAGAGTTCAAGCGGTAAGTGTTGAGCACCAGCCATGATCATGTTACCCAGCCAGCTGACCTCAGTAGCGACTTCACCATCTGGGAGTCCTTTTCCGTCTCTTTTTCGGTTCTGGGCCTGCTCCCATCCATTGCTTCCACCATTGGATACAGCTTGGGCTATTCGGGAACAGGAGGTGCCATTTGGGGATGGCTGATTGCCGCTCTGATCATTCAATCCACGGCTTTCACCATGGCAGAGCTATGCTCTAGTATGCTCTGGCATATTTGTGTCTATACAGTCATGACTGACGATCAACAGGCATGCCCACTGCCGGTGGACTCTACTATGCATCCGCCGTGCTGGCTCCCGAAGGTTGGGGACCTCTGGCGTCGTGGTTTGTGGGTTGGTCCAACTTCTGCGGCTTTGTAACGGGGCCCTGCTCGGTCAACTATGCTCTGGCGGCCATGCTGGTGACAGCTGGGAGCATCGCTTACCCAGACTATACCCCTGAAACGTGGCACATTTATCTTACACTTTTGGGACTGTTGCTCCTCAACGGCATTGTCACGATGCAGTCAACCTGGTTCATCGGCTGGGTCAACAAGATTGGCACCATTTTCAACATCATCGTCATTTTCATCTTCTTGATCTGGTTTCCTGTCGGCTCCATTAACCGGCCCAAGACGAACAACTCTCACGACGTATGGACGACGTTCGAAAACGGGACCGAATGGCCCATCGGATACGCGGTTATCATGGGTTTTCTAACGACAATTTGGACCATGTCGGGCTACGATGCGCCGTTTCACCTCACGGAGGAGTCGGCCAACGCTAACATTGCGGCGCCGCGGGCGATTGTCATGACCGCTCAATCAGGGCTCTGGCTAGGGTGGGCCGTCATCTTTGTGATTGTTTATACAGTCAAGGACATTCCGGATGTGGTGGCTGGGCAGTATGGGCAACCCTTTGGCAGTCTATGCCTTCAGGTGTTGGGCCAGAAGGCCGGACTAGCCATGTTTTCTCTCAACATCATTGCGCAATTCTTTGTGGGCGAAGGGTGCACCATCACTGCGACTCGGGTGGTGTTTGCATACTCACGAGACGGAGCGCTTCCAGGGTCCCGGTGGTGGAGTCAAGTCCATCCACGGACCCGGACGCCAGTCTACGCCACCTGGGGTGTGTTGGGTGTAGCGGCACTGCTGGGTTTGTTGATGTTTGCAAGTCCGGTGGCTATTGGCGCGATCTTTAGCATTGGTGCCATCGCGCAGTACACATCATTCACCACACCGGTTGCGCTCAAATTATTCTTTGACCACGGACGGTTCGTACCAGGTATGTAGCGGATGCCAAAGTGCAGCCGAACGAGGACTAATTTGTTGGGACAGGACCATGGCACCTGGGCCGATTCTCTAAGCCACTGGGTGCGATTGCACTTTGCTGGTGGTTAATCATTGTGCCCGCATTGTGTTTCCCAGCCGTCAAAGGGTCCGACCTGAACGCGTTGACCATGAATTGGACATGTCTGATCTACGGGGGATCCATGTTCCTAGCATTGATGTGGTACGCAATCAGTGCGAGAAAATGGTTCAAAGGGCCTCGGATCAACGTAGCTGTGATTCATGGAGAGACGATTGTGAAGGAGAGTCAGTCGAGCGACGACGCGATAGCCAAGAAAGAAGGCTAGGCGGAGTTGGGAGGTGAGTACTGAAGGAAGTTGCCGACCTCTGCTATAGATGTTGATATCGCGATGGTCATGGTCTTTGTCAGCGTGGAATTATACTTTACCATTACTGAGAACAAGAAAATCGGAGGTTTCGAATCAACGCCTGAGGAGATGCATACGTTGCACCCAAGAGATTAGAGTGGGCATATTCGTAGGCATACGTGTCGATCCTGCAAGTGTTTCATTAGCGGATGATGCGAATCCCAGTTATCGATTATCTCGGCTAGGGCTTGGATGTCTTGTCATCTCTCAACGTATGGATTGAAGTCAGCAGGACGCTCTTTCAAGTTATGAAGATAGGGAGATGGATGCTGATGAAGAAGTGAATCGAGAGAAGAGATGATAAGGACAGATTTGAGTCACGTGGTCTTACCAATGATTTCTCGTGGCAGCTGCGACTGCGACAGTCGTGGTCATGGTTGAAATTAAGCTGCTTCCACAAGTCTTAACCGCCGAATGTTGAAGGGTCATCATCATTGCGACAGTCATTACGTTTGATCGCACGCCCAAGAGCATCTACTTACTTAGACAATTGATGATGGGTCTGGGCAACGGGAGGAGAGCAGCCGGGCATCGATGGAAGTCCAGGTATTATTGATTGACCTTCAAGTCTACAACCACCCTACCAGTGCTACCGTACCTGCCTAACTTAAGGTTGAATGCGTATGCGTCGATGCTTGGCGTTCTGGTTTCCCTCCAAGAACGATTGGAGATCCAATAAAGACAGGTCCGAGTGGGTTAGGTACTCATGACCGCTCCTCTCCTCACTGTTTGCTAGCTGGCTGTAGATGTCTACTTCTAGTCTCTCGCAAGACTCCAAAGGCATCTAATGCATATAGAAGTCTTTGGTGCTCGAAAAAGTCAGACCCTTCAGCTCTCCATGTCATCTACAATATGGGTATACGTCCTTTTGAGTGAGTCGAGAAGAGGAAAGGCTCTCTTCCAACATATCAGTGCAAGCGTAGGCAAGCACTCGCCCCCAGTTGCCTTGTACTGGTAAGTTTCAGTACCTGCAGGCGGCAGGTCCATTTCCCCTCCATTCCTCCACCACTGTGGCCCCCCACCTATAAGAAGGCTCATAGGCTCTAGCCTGGGCACCTCGCGAGGGTCGAGGGGCTTCCCAGCGCCTATCGATATGCGCGTATGGGCAGGCAAGACGCTAAATCCTCGCCCCGAGGCCATGTCGTAAGCTGGCGGCTGCCAAGTCAAACAACGCCAGTGCCCAACCCAAGCGCCGACGCCTCCCCGCCCAGTTTTGCGTGTGTTGCGTGCCGTGTATGCATCTTCCATCCCCGTCGCGCTTTCCCCATCCCCTCCCTCGTCCATTGTCCATCGTCCATGCGTCGGCCATGGAAAATCCGATGCCGATTCCATCTCACCTCACCCCATCCCATCCCACTACAGAGTCAGTCAACTTCCATCCTCTGCGCCTCTTCACACCTCACTTTTGACTCACTAAACATCCCGCCCTGTACGACCCTAACCTCATACACGCGTCTTCGCTTCATAGCGCCCCTGTAACCCAACATGGACTTGTACTTGCTGTACCTGAGAGATGCATGACGAATGTTCAATTCTCTCTCTCTCAAATCATCCAACCCCCGGCCGCTGATCACCCCTCCAAATCTCTATATCTCCTTCGAAGGGGTCCACCATCAATTAATCCAGACTGCCTCTTGACCAAGTACTCCTTCTGGCAGTCAACATGCCCGATGCTCTCCTCTGGATCAACAAAGACGGCGCCTCTGATGTTCTCTCCCGCAGCTCAAAGGATGAGACCCGCCAGATCCGTAAGCATGTCCAACATGAACGACAAGTCAAGGCAAAGGCCGCTCAGGGTGCTGCTGCCGCACTCGCTGCCAGCAAGTCAACAAGTCCTCCAAAATCCCGCAGAGTAAGTCGCAGTGTCAGTGAGAGGAGCACCACCCCAACCGACCAATCCACAAACACCGTCGCTGTCAGGCGCAAAGCCTTGCGACTCGATACCAATCTCCCCAATGACACCCGCTCGCCATATCCTCACACCAGCCAACTGTCGGCTTCCTCGTCTGCCATGTCTCCTACAAGTCAGTCTCTCCGCATCAATCAGACCATCAGCGCATTGCCAGGTCTCGATGCAGATGAGCTTCGAAGTCTGGTATTCTTCTGCCAGAGAACAGCCCCCGAGTGGTCCGGCTGGCGCGATGCCCTGTTTTGGAACAAACTCATCCTCCAGGCCTGCCATCTGAACCAGTCCATCCTCCATGGCGTAGTCGCTCTTGGCGCTCTTCACGAGTCGTGTGAGGTCGACAAGGAATCTGACGAACAGTCGAGTTTACAACAGCTCGCATTGGTCCAGAGCACAAAGGCCACCAGGATGGCCGTCGAGACCGCCGCCTCCGAAATCACCGCTCTCATCTCCTGCGTCATATTCATCTGTATGCAAAACCTCCAGGACAGTCGCACCGCATATCAACTTCTCAAGACAGGCCACGGCATCATCACCGACGTCGATCGCCGTCTTGCCTCGGGAGAGCTCGTCATCACAGATAGCGAAAATACCGTCCTCAATGGGTGCTTGCGACCCATCATTGAGCGCCTGCGCATGAGGTTTTGCTGCATCGTCGACATCCCCTCTGCCTTGGCCATCAGCTCAGCCATCCGAAAGGAAAGCCTCGATTCGCCCTCGTCAATACCTCACATTCCCCATAGCTTCAGTAGCCTCCTCGAAGCACGTAACGAGCTCGAGCACATCATCGACTGGGGACAGGAAAATGTTGATCCTTCAAACTCCCCAAGCCACGGTCTTTTTGAATTGCACGGCATGCTGACCTCCTGGCAATCTGCCCTTGAAAGGACCCCTATCCTGGATGCCGAACGCTACGATGCACTTGTCAGCTCCAAGAAGCTACTGAGATCCGCTGCCTTGGCCGCCGCCATTCTTTTCGACACCATGGGAACTCAGGTCGAATGTCACTACGACCGCCATATCGATAAATTTGCCGAGATTGTTCATCTGTACAAAGAGGCCATTGGCGATCACTCGCGAACTCCGCGACGAGTGTCGTTTGGCATCGACTCGGGCGCCATTGATACATTAGCCTTTGTCGCTGGACGATGTCGCGACCCTGTCATCCGCCGGGAAGCCATCACCCTGCTCGCCCAGACCAACCGTTTGGAAGGAGATCTGCAGGGAACCACTGGGAGTACCATTATCCAGGAACTCATCCGTCTTGAGGAGCAAGGTCTTGATGTCTCTTGCGCAGCAGACATCCCTGAATCTTCGCGACTTCGTATCTGGGAAGATCACCAGTACTGGGACAACGGTGAGATCCACATTTTCTTTATCAAAAGCCCATATGAACTTTCTCAGTGTGCTGAGATCAAGGAAGTCGTCATCAAATTGCCTGACACCGCCCTGCGCGTGCCAAAAGAAGGTGCCAATCCAGGAAGTCCTTCACTACGCCTGCCCAATGTCAAATATGGCCGAGGAATTGGCGAGTTCCTCGAGGAGAGCACCCAGACCTATTACCAGATCACCCTTTCATCATTTTTCATGCCCATGCCGAGGCTATGAATCTGTTGTCTTACGGTCGTCGTCGCTTGTCGACCACGGCCAACCACTATTCTCCTCCGCCGCATACCACTCTGTACTGTTGGCGCCCGGCTGCAAGCACCAAATATACAAGGTACCCAACAGACAACCACTGCTTCTGAGCACACCAACTCAATCGCCGTCAGCGGGCTAGGATCGCCCTCTACTACGGAGCGTGATCCATTTCACACCAGTTCCGGCTCATTCATCAGTCCGGAGCACCAGATTCAGGCCCTAGGGCGGGACTACTCATATCAAATACAGACACCTGTCGTCGCCGCTAGAACGGGACCACCGCTTGACGATCCAGCTTTGCCAGATCTAACCCTAGTGCCTCTGGGGGCAAGTATTCACCGTGAACAGGTGTTACTGCCTCCATGAGCACTCAAGTTAGTGGACCGACTTTCAACTCCACTCTCGGGCAAAACCTGGCTACGACAAGCATTGACAAACTCTCGACTATCAATTGTCCAACATATAGAGGCTAGGAATGGCCCGCCAGCCCCAGATCAAGATACTGAGACGATCTTCTATCTTCAAAGCACCTAAAGCCATCCCGGCACATGCGTTTTGTGGGATGCTTTGTCTGAAAGTACAGCCACACATTTAATTGTCCACCATTTGACAATTCACATGACGAAGCTATCTTGAGAGATTTACTTTCCGTGACCTTGGGTGCGTTAGCTGATTATTTTCGTCTTTGTAGCTAAAGTATACCCCTTTGTCAATGTCACGTTAGACCATGAACCAATCTACTCATGTGAGCTTTCAGCCACAGTCATATTTGTGAGATAGGAAGTGAAGAGAGAAATAAGGAGCATGCAGTCTCAATGACTAGGATTGACTAGCTACAATAGCTATGTAGGACTTCTTGTTGTTGATCTTGGGTGATTTGCTAAAGAGAAAGAGAGAAAGAAGAGAAAGGAGAGGATATAAACGGTAGAGGGGCTCCTGCCGCCAGTATCCACTCACGTTTATATCACGTGCTTATAGTCACGTGCACGTCACATGACAGGGATATGTATTCATGTCTCAATAGTCCAATTAGCTACAGAAACACTGCATGTTTATATACAAGACAATCAAATCACAGAGTGTATCTGAACCCAGCCAGGCCCTCAATGACCTTTCCACCGGCCGCAGCACGCTTGTTGGCATTGTAGAACTTGAGGTTCAAAATGCAAGAGAAGACAATTATCAAAGCAGCAGCGATCATAGTGGCATAGATACCCGGTCGATAGTTTGGAGCATCCTGGCTTCGGAAGACGGTGCTACCGATAATACCACCGATACCGCCAGTGCCGACGAGAGTAGCAGAGCAGAGAGCACGCTTCCACTGGCCTCGGATGTTGTTGGCTTGCCACGTCAGGACACAGGGGACGTTAGCATTGGCAGCAATGGTCGCCAGGAAGACGCCAAAGTACCGTACGCCGGTATTCTTGGTGAATCCGAGCAGAGGAAGTCCAATGAGTGCCAGGACACCGTTGGCAATAACAAAGGGTGATCGGATGTGATACTTGTCACCAGCCCATGCCATAGCATACATGACGATTGCCGCGGCCACGTAGGGAGGTGCCACCAAGCATTGAGCTTGTCCTGTGCTGAATCCCATACCGTCCTTCAGAATGATGGGTAAAAAGAAAGCGATCGCGTAAGTGATAGTCGTCGTTAAACCAAAGATGCTCGCAAAGGCCCAGACCTTGAGGTCAAGAGCTCCTCGAAGATAGCTTCCCAGGCGGAATGGTTCGGCAATGGCGTCTTTTCGATCCTTTTCAATCCGAGCGACAATGAAGTCCGACTCTTGCTTGCTAAGGAAGTCAAGTCCAAGCCATGGTCGAGAGGCGTGCTCAGGGAAGTCGACAATGGTGACGAAACCGATCAGGGCGACCACACAGGTCAAGACTCCCTGCATGATGAAGATCCATCGCCATCCTGCAATGCCGGGCATTTGTCCACTGGGAGCAGTTGGGTTGAGCTTGGTTGGTCCGTATTTCTGTCCTAGGCCTGAGCCAGATCCAAGTCCGTTCATTTGCATGAAGCCATATGACAAGATTCCTGAGAAGGCCGATGACATGGAACCAATGAGGAAGAAGACAGCATTACGCTTCTGGAGTTCGTATCGAGGGTACCAGCATGAGAGCAAATATGCACAACCAGGAAAGAAGCCTGCTTCCAAAACACCAAGAACAAGTCGTAGAGGGATCATCTCCCACCATGAGTGGACGAAACCGAATCCCAGGGTCAACAAACCCCAAGCCAAACAGGTGGTGGGGAGAAACCATTTGGGGCCGACTTTGCGAAGGATGACGGTCGCGGGAGGTTGGAGGAAGACGTAAGTGAAGAAGAAGACTAAGGTGATCAAGCTGTACCGGGCGCCGATGTAGGTTTGCAAGTCGAATGCCATACCAGCCACAGCAGCGATTCCCAAGTTGGTACGGTCCATCAGGGACACGCAGTACATACCACCAAGGGTGAGGATGAGTCGGCGATCGATCCGCCAGATGATGGCCTTCTGTTCCTTCTCGCTAAAGACATTGATGCGTGCGTCATAGTCGGCTTCTTCGCCAGAGTTGACTCGTTCGATGTTGATCTCTTCGCCCTTTTCAACCTCATGGTGGTGGGTAGCCATGGTGGAAGAGCTGTCGTGTTAGGAAAAGCTCGAGCGAGGAGAGAGATATCTTTGCTGGAAAGGATGTCTCTACAGATGCTGAGGTGGAAACTATGGAGGAGAGGATGAACCTGGCGAGTGTCGAGCAAAACATGACCATGGTATGTTTGGAGTCTTATATAGACTCTTCTCATCGTAGCATATCCCCAGTATATCGCCCCGATCTACAACCATTGCCCCAGCTTTTCACCATCTCGCTCAAATTGTGCTGTGTCCACATGCAACACTGTAACCCCAAACAGGAACGACCCACGGGCACGGGGCCGACTCGCCCCTCGAACGCTGATATGGGGTATATCCACCTGAGAGGCGACAATGACGGGGGCGGGGGGCCAATCTCGCCTTTGCAGACGTTCTCCCGATCCTCTGGAAGTCTTGTGCTCGAGCTGTGTTTGTTCTGGACCATCATCAAAAGTGGGCCCGACAGTGGCCGGGTGAGCTAGTTGTCCTTGGCTGCCACCGACACCAAGCGCTGTCAACCCGCTCCCGGACCAGTCAGCATCAGTCAGGCCCAGTCAAGACCAGTCGAGGCGTCGAAGTCGCCGCAGTTCAACAACCTTAACCCTCGGCGTCGCCCGAGAAGGGAGTGGTCGACCGACGGCAGTTGGGCCTTGATGCCTGGTACGGATGCCCCTTGAGGTAGTGGTCTATGGCTGGCATTTGGTCAAGAAAATTGGCAAGCCACTAGGTAAAAACTTGTCTCGAGCAAGACTACTCTGTAGGTATAGAGTCACTGCCAAGTGTCTGTGTGTACGTTGACCGCCTGATAGAGTTGCCATAACTTATCATGCATCTGTTGACAACGTGCAACATCATACATGTTGCATCAGAGAGGTGGGCACGGCATGGAGGCCGTGAGCCTCGCTCGCATTTCCTCGTCGAATCATGCACAAATCCCAAGGAATACCAAGTCAGAAGCTTGTAAAATCAAAGCCCATAGAACAATCAAAGGGACATGTGCTCTTGTTTTGGATGCCCGCCTCCTTCAATAAATCTGGAGTAAAACCCCAGATTGGGACGATACCCCGGGTGGGAACTGTCCTGTCAATCACAAACAGAACAGCAGCTCCCTCGGAATCTCTCCGCGTGGATACCTAGATAGCTGTGAGATCCCAATCTACGGAGTATCTATGGAGCTCCATAAGCTTCTGCAATTCGACGCCAGTCGCATGCGGAGTCGGCTCTTAGTAGCATGCTAAGAATGACCAAACTGATTCGCTACGTAGAGCTCGCTTCATGAGATCATGTCCCAGCTCTATGAAGTCTCATGTGAGCATCCCGACGAGGTACAAGCACCCCTTATTGCATCGGGATGGCGTATCGTGATCGTTTCATTATAGCTTCTCGACAGTCCATTTTATCCACCTTGAACGATGAGTACTACTGTATCCAGATACTTTCCCATTCAGGAGACGAACCATGAAAGAACCAGTATCCTTTGTCTCGAACGTTACGGCTACTCACAAGATTCAATCCATAAGCAGGTCGGAAGTCGAAGGGAGGTCAATGACCCTTCTCATGAGAAAGGACGGGGGACAGCGAGGTTGAGAATTCTGTGCCTCAATCAAACGTTCTTTTGGATCATGCAACTGAAAGAACGTCAAAGTGACTGGCCGGGGTGGGGGTTGTCCTAACCCTAAGTGGTTACCAGAAATGAAGAAGAACACCACTCCCGATACACGTTTTCATTTCGCAAACAAGACAATGTCAAACTGTAATCTTCTAGCGAGGAAGCCTGTCTGCAAGTAGGAGAAGCATCTATGTATCTTCCAAGCCTCGGATCCGAGCATCTCTCGTACTTCTTTTTCCTACTGGGAGGAAATCCTAACAGTGACTACGAAAGCCACCATTCCTGTTGGGTGCTTTACGTGGGAAAGTTTGTTGAAAAGCTACTCCGCTACAAAGTGCTCACGAACTACCAACCTCTAGACCCAATCTCCCCCATGGGGTCATACCAGATCCTCAGATCATAGTTCTCATCGCTGGCCAAGGCACAGCACTGTCCTGTCTAAGACATGGAGAGGACCACCGCGTGATATGGGCGCTTCCAGAACAGCCTAATCCACCGGACCACCGGTCCTTCACCTCCACCAGAGACAGTCTTTGGGCCCACGGGGCCCAAAGTTTCCTTCATGATATCCATCCACATCGAGATGTCATGGCAGCAAGGAATTTGCCTAGACACTCCCGGACAAAGTCAAGGTTTTTATTGGGCCAGATGAACCTCTTGGCCTCTGATCAAGCCACGTTGGCTGCTGCAAGCTTCCTTGTTCTTTTGCAAGCCATGGTGAATGCATGAACTGACTCGACCATGACTGTTCAGCCGTGTCAGTTTCGCTGTGGCTTCACTTGCATCGCAGAATGAGATGTCTATCGATGATCGGGTCATCAAGAACTAACCGCTCACGCGATATCCTACATTCCCATGCCATTCTTGGCTCAAAGCCACCGACGACGGATGGTTTCCTGAGACGTCTCCAAAGATGATGGCCTTCCGAGATGACCGACTACATCCTCTCCTGGTGGAGCTGTAGACTCAACCAAACTCATCTGCACAACATACCAAGAATTCCTGCCCCTGGCCATACAAGGTCAGTGCGATCATGCCTACTCCTTTTTAGGTGAGAGGTTCGCGACAATATACAGGGGTTAAACGGGAGCATTCCATCCGTGCTTGGTTGCAATGGTATACAGCGCGGAATGGTTCCAGGTCACTGAAGTGCTTGTTTTGCGATCGAGGTCATGATCGTGATATCACTCGAGCCCAAGACTGTGGGATGAAAATGGCCTTGATCGACCTCTGACGCTCCCTAAACGGTGATCGTCTTCCATCACAATCTGCCGAGATGTGTCGAGACTCGTCGAGATGCCCTTCCGACAGGATCGTGTCATGCATCGCCACTCGTCAGCCAATGTTCAGAATGACCGGGTCCATCATCTTGAGCTTCATCCTCTTCCCCCGCGCGTTCTCCCCTGTCCTTCTGCCATCGCGGTCCCAACCGTGTCCATGCTTAGACTTATTCTGATCTGTCGTCGCCCGGTACATCAAGCCGTGGCCAGCCGAGCATGATCATCATGGCCAGAGTCGGGTCAGGCCCACTCTCTTGTTGATTTCTCAACAAGTGCTTGCTCTGAAATGGTCTCACCATGTAGGTCACCCCCAGAGTTTCCAATCGATCGAGGCAGGAGTTGACTATAATCCGGTCGGACTGTCACCAGATTCCATATCTTACCAGTTGACTCTAGTGTGAAGGTGTCGAACGGCACCTCATTGCTGGCCTCTGCCTGCGATCCCATCCCGATCTTGACCATCACTGTCGACAGAGTCGCCTCATCATACATCTGGTTACCATCCTTCCATGCCCGTCCTCTCCACTGTTTTCACACAATCTCTAGTTCAAGACACAGCCATAGACCTGAGCCCTTCTCTTCCCGTGACCAATGCACCCCTTGGTTTGAAACTATAGCCCCTCATCGCTGCTGAAGTCAAGAACGCCCGTGACATTCACCTATGAATAAGAAAAGCACATGAACAGAGATGAAGGCGATATCAAGAAGGTTAAGATCTACGGACAGATTCTACATGAGCAGGAAAAATATCCAGGACTGCTTATTTATCCGGAGAGAAACTCGGTGACAATACTCGAGAATTCAAGTGGCTTCTCCACCATGGGCAAATGACCAGCTCCCTCGACGACCTTGAGCGGCACTCCACCGGCATATGAATCTGCCATCTCCTTCATCGAGGTCGGCAGCTTGCCATCTCCAGCGCCAACCACGAAGATGGCCTTGACCGTAGCGGTGGGCATCATCGGGCGCAGGTCATATTCCCACAAGGCTTTGACGACGGCCTCGAACCCCGAAAGGGAGTTGACTCTCACTGACTGTTTGACCTGCTGCAGCTTTGACTCGAGATAGCCTCCGTCGTAGCTCTCGGGCACCGCCCATCTCCTGACCGTGACCTCTGCGAGCTCTTCGCCAATAATGGGCTCCTGTTGGCCTTGGGCGTTGGCGCCTGTGGCGTTTTCCTTTTTCGCAATCGCGATCCGGTCCAGCCATAACTTGGAGTTTCCGGGTGGGCTGCTCGAGTTGGTGTCGCAGGAAATGACCGCGGCGACGCGGTCTGGATATCGCAATGCAAAGTTGAGGACTGTCGCACCTCCCAAGCTGACTCCAATGGCGGCCGCAGCTTGTGATACCCGAAGTTCGTTCAGGAGTGCTGGGATGTCACTCGCCAGGACGTCCACGGTGATGGGTGTGGTTCCGCAATCGCTCGTCCGGCCCCGTGTCGAGTATCGCAAGATCCGGTATCCAGCATTGCTCGGTTTCGAGAGGAAGTCGTCCACAAACTCGTCCCAGATGTGCCAATCAACGAGAACAGAGTTGGATAGAACAATCAACGGAGCCTCAGGGTCTGTCGATCCTTCCAGAAGATATGGGATCTTGACTCCGTCGGCGGTGAAGATGTAGCTTTCCACGCGCGACCGACCATTGCCGCCGCCATTGCCGGCATCTTGAGCTCCTGCCGTTTTGGTCCCTTCTTGAGGATGCTCGTACGAGGGCGCAGTGGCACTAAGATGTCGTGGAGCTGAGCCGAAGATGTAGTGCAACTCATAGGGGCGGATATCAGGAGTGTTGGAGGTGCTCGATTTCCAGTCACTGTCGGCCACAGTATACTGTCGGGCCTTTTGTTCGAGCGACGCCTGGTCCGACGAAGAAGCTGAGGCGGCGAATTCGTGGATGATCTGGACCTCGGTCGTGGCTGGGGCAGTCTCTGACACCGGAATGCTGGTGCGCCAGAGACGTGTCCGTCGCCATTCTGGTGTGGATTTGAGGTCCGGAATTCTTGTATCCTTATACCATTGCAACAGGTCAGAGACTTCAGATGATAGGACGGTGCGGGAGACGACAATGAGGATGTTGAGTCGGCTTTTGCCTTCTGGAAGGGTATCCACAGGCTTGTAGCTGTCGACTTCAGTCGAATAGACCTGGTCGTAGAGTCGGCGGTCAACATTGATGCGGCTCATGACAGAGATCTCTCGCGCAGATTTCCAAGGTGGTGATCGTAGTCGCAGATAGCTGTCTTCCTCTAGGGCGGCCATGTCATCGATATCGTAAATCGCCAACCATTCTGCCTTGGGTGAACTATAGGATGAGTCCTAGCAAACACAAAGAATCAGCACCGGCAATCATCGAACCAGATACAAGGGGGATGATTACCTGTTTAGCAACAGATGATGTGTCACTGGTTCGGTAGTCTGAGTATGGGGTTCGAGCAATGTCCAAAGCACGATATCTGAACCCATTCTCGCAACAGGCCAGTCTTAACCGTGTCGGACCGTGCTCGTTGTTGTACCAATCGTGAAACTCAGCGGGCGAAAGATCATTCTGAGGATTCATACGCACGAAAAGGAGCCCTGGTGTTGGAGACATGGTAGAAGGCGAAGAAACGGTTCTGGGTACGGAATAGATAGGGTGATAGGTTTCTGTGCCGAACCATAAGGTCTATACTCGCTGTTGGTTGGAAAGATGTCGACGGAAGATGATGCAACTCTTCAATGATGATTGATTAGATGGACAGTCGTGAGTCCCTCGTTGATGGAAGTTTCTGCGAAATTCCCAACCACTGAGCATTGGAGAGTTGTAAACAGCAACAGATAGATGAAAAATTGCCCCGCAGAGTCACCACATGCGGGCAGGGGAGCAAATGACGTTGGAGGGTCTGCCCGAGGGGTCTAAGGGCAATATCGGATCGTGTCTACGGAATAACGGTTTTGATGAGTGGGTAGACGAACCAGGGGGGTTGGAACACATCCGGCAGATTAGCCCGGCTACTGGCCCTTGGCTTCTCTCTCCATTCCACAAAGTCTAGTATAGTGAGACTGGTCAAAGTATTCAGAGTATCTAGCATGATGCAAGGTGTCAACAACAGTTAGACTTGCTATGATTTTTATGCAGGTACAGCAGATGCAGACAACGTTTGCTTGCGATGGCATCAGATGATGGGTATATGGGGTATACTCTATATATCGCACGTGATCCGGAGCGTGTGATTGCAATGTGATCGCCACGGTCTCTACACCATTATCACGGAATGAATACATTAAATGATTCTAGTCATACCAGATTGCATTCATGCCGAATCCGGGTTCATGGACCTCGCATCTTGCCACAATCTCAAACTTTTCCTCTCGCCAACGATACATCTCGATGAATCCAACGGTATCATCAGTCACAGCGATCCACTCATCGGTCCAAGGGCACATGCCCAGTGCATTTGAATGGCCACCGCTTGACGTCGTGGGTTGTAGGACAATCTGGTCTTCGATACTTCCGTCATCTTTCAGTCGGTACGCACTGATCCATCCTGGGATACCGATTGTGTTGGACCGCGTGGTGGCGAACAGGTACTTGCCGCTTTGCGAGCAAAATACCACATCTCCACGATAGTTTTTCTTATTTGGGAGTAGTTCTAGGTAGCTGGTCAGCAGCAATGATACTGATTGAAGAGTCAACATACCGTCAGGGAAGAGAGGGAATATTTTGCCGGTGAATTCAGGAAGATGCGTCTCTGGATCGATCCTGTACTCTCCCAGGCGGTTTCCCGCCTCCATGAGCAGATATAAATGCTTCCCACTCTTGTGTACTTCGACCCAGCGTGGGTGGTCTCCTGGCCCTGGCGCTTCTATACTGCCGGCTAGCTCCACCTTGCCGGATTCCGGATCCTTCTCGTGTGTCCATAGTTTGTTGGCGCCCATGTCGGCTGAGTAGAGATATGATTCGGTAGGGTCAAAGGACATGCCATGGACACCAGCAGTTTCTTCGTATTCATAGTCTTGGATATTCCTGGCTAATGATCCATCTTCTGCTACAGCAAATACATTTCCGTGCGATGCGTATTTGTAGAATGGGTTTCCATAGACATTGTAGGGAGGTTTCTGGGCGGCCAGGACAAAGATGGCGCGTGTATTAGTGTCTGCATTTGGTGCGAGAGCTGCAAGCCATCATGTCAGTTCATCAAAGTCGGTCTTTTGAGGTCGAGTTCAAATCTCACGGTGGCCTGAAATAGGATGTGAAGCATTGTGTTTGATGTCGGTGGGACTATTAACGGCATGACTTGACCATTTCTTCATGGAAGCACCATAGATTGTTTTTCTTGAATGCTGCAACGTTCTTTTAGCAGTGATTAGTCTCGCGCAGTATGGGCTTTGGCCTTACATTGAATGTCATCCATGATATAGGTTCGTCTTGAGGGATCTCGGCGCGGTGGACCAGTTTTAAACTAAGGGCTTCATCATCGAATTCAAAGCTGAAGATGGCCCCGGGCGGCGTCCAAGTGCCAACCATCAAATGATGAAGTACCATCTCGAAGGCCCCTTGGTGTTGATACAGAATTTCTCGATTCGGACAATGTCAACACAGATCTAAAAATTGACTGCGAACATCCCAAGACGCAATTCTACTTTTCCCACGACACCTTAGAGCAAATGTCATGGGTGACGTCGTGGCTCGGAGTTGATCCGGGCTATTTAGAGTGGAGGGGCAGAGGGGATAGAGCGCTGAGGGCCCAAAACTTATCGCTAGAGGCTCTTTGATCGGATCATGCCCCTGGAGGGGCGCTTTGGACCAACCAGGGTTCCAGGATGTGCCTTAGGGACGGAATTTTATGAGAGTTGGGCCAATTCCGGTCCCTTCCTCTGGGTTATGCACACCCCAACATGCCGGGAAGCAGTGTCGGCATTGTATTTTCCCGCCAGGGCCTAAAGAGACCTTTTCGAGTCCACTTAGGCAGTGTTATTCTGGTCCAAGTGGTTAGAATTACCCCGCGGATCGCCACCACGGCAATTGAAACTGTCTGCTCCAGGCACTACAAAGCCGGTCACAGTTATGGGCCAACAGCGCCCGAGAGCACCTAAGACTCATAAGTAGGTATTCAACTATGGAGAGTGCCAGTGTCAACTTAAGCCCAAGACAGTGACAAGTTCTTTCTGTATACAAGATTGGAATTCTTCAATATCAGATGGGATTCTGAAGAAGCCAAAAAACCCTCGTTCGCGTTATCCAAACAGCATTTGCACTTCAAAGCATCACACAGTCTGCAAAATAGCCCCGAGCGGTGTTCAGCAACCTCTGACCCAAAATCTTGATACTGGACATCGTCCTTACGTCCCTCGTAGTTGGAAATCAACAGAGATTGCTCATATATAAGCAGATCATTGATCCTGTCAGTCGTCTGTGCAAGATCCCTCGCTGGCTCCTGTGCGAAAAACCTAGACCTCGTGAATTGTGTCCGATCATATTATTAAATCTGTATAAACTACTTAGCAGCTGCACCATCAATAAATTCGACAACCGAATGATAGTATAGATCTAGTGTCATGTCAATATGATATTTCCAGGCCCTATACTGAACCTTTCACCGGCTGTCATTGCGTGTCCAGAACTAAGGGAAATGAATCGGAATATAAAAGCGAACAGCCCCTCGATCTCAACCCAGTTCTTCTTTGCCCGATTTTAATGAAGCTACGACTCTATCACCTCACCAGAATCCCGACTCGCACATTCTCTACCCGTGGATCGCTCGTCAAAATGCGCTTACCTTATGCACCCACGACGGCTCCAGAAGATCAGCCAAAATCAGCAGAAATCTACGAGCGAATCGCGGCACGCCGTGCTCCCAGGCCATTAATACCACTCGACTTGACACTTTTACACTCGCCGCCCGTGGCAGATGGATACAACAGCTTCCTCAACGCTATTCGGAACGAGACAATCGTGGACCAGGCCCTCTTGGAACTGGCCATCTGCCGCATAGGGGCGTTGAATGGTGCCGTCTGGGAGTGGCGTGCACACGCGGCATTGGCAGTCAAGGCGGGAGTTGGCAGAGCTGCCCTTGAGGCTGTCCTCGATGTCCAATCCGGATTCGGTCGGGACAGAGTATGGAACGGTTTGACTGAGCAGGAAGAAGCCGTTATCAGATACACGGATGCAATGACCAAGGACGTCAAAGTCCCTGAGGAGGTATTTCTTCGCTTAAAGGAGATCGGGTTGGCTGAAAGGGAGATTGTCGAGTTGACGGCGGGAATTGCTGCTTACAACTGTGTGAGTAGATTCCTTGTAGCCATGGATGTTGGAGAGATGAACGACAAAGAGATGAAGGTCCCAGACGATGCAAAATGAGATTTATGGGAAGTCGACTGTTAAGCGTTGCATTCAGGACTCGAGTCTATGGGCGGCGCTTGTGTAGATATGCTTTACCTCAGCTGGCCTGTTTCTTGATCTACGGGAGCCTCTTCGCTCAAGTTTCTACGGCCTCAGAACGATCAAATATACCTCCGCCTTTAGACCTCTCCATCTTGACAATCCAACTTGGAATAACAACTCCTTCGAGCGATAGCGCCTTCAGGTCAGAATGACCTCATCATGATCATATTCTGGAAGGTAGGCATTGCCCTTGCGAGGGATGGCCACCTCGGCTTTCATCAACACCTCTTGCTCTACAAGATCTTCTCCAATGACATGGGCTTTTGTCAAGCACTCTGCTTCATTTCACTGGATGGCTCTACATGCTGGATGTGAGCCGTCTGACGTGGCTATTTACTGTCTCAGGGTAAGATGAGTGATCCCAAAGATCAGTAATATCATTTCTATGATTTGCTTTTAGCCGAGGTGCTCTCGCCAGCCCTCTTAACCGTGCGCATGCCTGTCCTAGGTCTCCAGGAAAATACATTCAATCGATATCAACATGGCTCGAGAGTTCTCACGCCAGGAGGTCGCCCAGAATAATACCGCAGACAGTTTGTGGTGTGTCATCGACTCTAACGTATACGACCTGACCGATTTCGTGGATGGCCACCCAGGAGGATCAACGGTGCTGGAGCAAGTGGCAGGCACCGACGCAACCTCTGACTTCTTCAACTTACATAGACTTGAAGTCTTGAAGAAGTTCAAGTCTCTGTGGATCGGCACCATTGCGGGGGAGAAACCACAAATTATAGTCCCAAGCCCTGGAGATCTAAGCTCAGTTCCTTATGCCGAGCCATTATGGCTGACTCCAGAGTTTCAAAGCCCATACTACAAAGACAGCCATCGTCGATTACGCCACGAGATGAGGAAATGGGTAGAAACGGTGCTAATACCGGATGCTTACGAAAAAGAGGTCAGCGGAGAAAGGATTAGCGATGCTGTTCTGCAAGACATGGCGTGAGTGGCTCCCATGGGATATCCGTGGTATACCATGACACTTGCACTCTGACATGAGAGATTTCAGGCGCTTGAATATGAATGCAATGAGAATGGGACCGGGCCCTCATCTCAAGGGACGTACGTTGATGAATGGGGTAGTCACCCCCGAGGAGTTCGACTATTTCCACGAGGTCATTATCACTCAAGAGCTGAGTCGCACAGGGACACGATCATTCAATGATGGGAACCTGGGTGGAATGGTCATTGGCCTACCGGCTGTCCTCCTCCACGCCAGGAATGAAGTCGTCCGGAGCAGAGTGACCGAGGAATGCTTATCAGGGAGAAAGCAGATCTGCTTGGCAATCTCTGAAGCATTTGCTGGATCTGACGTGGCAGGGATGAAGACGACGGCTGTGAAAAGCGCCGACGGGACTCACTATATTGTCAATGGTCGGTACCAGCAATTGCCCCTGGAAGAAGCAACTATGCTAACGAGTTATTCAAGGGACCAAGAAATGGATCACCAATGGGACGTTTTCATCATGGTTTGTCACTGCTGTCAAGACTCAGAAGGGCTTCTCGATGCTCCTCATTGAGCGGGGTGAGGGGGTCGAGACCACACAAATCAAGACTACATATGGGTCAGCTGCAGGAACGGCGTTTGTCAAGTTGGACAATGTCAAAGTGCCGGTGGAAAACCTTCTCGGGGTAGAAGACGAGGGTTTCAAGGTCATCATGACTAATTTCAACCATGAACGCTGGATGATTACAGCGTTCTCCGTCCGCACTTGTCGATTGGTAGTGGAAGACTGCCTGAAATGGGCGCATCAGAGAAAGGTATTTGGGAAAAGATTGGTGGATCAGCCAGTTATCAGACAAAAGTAAGTGCGGCGTGTCCTTCGACGAGGATCATGTCCAACAGCAAACCCGATGCTGACGATCATGATCAGGCTGGCCAAAATCATCTCATTGGCAGAAGCGACTCAAGCATACCTTGAGACTATTACCTACCAAATGTGCAACATGTCGCATGAAAAGCAAGGCCAGCACCTAGGTGGGCCGATCGGACTCTTCAAGATGTTTGTGACCAGGGCAGCGCATGAAATTGCCGATGAAGCAGTCAACATCTTTGGAGGGCGAGCTTTGACGAAGACGGGAATGGGTCGCAACATTGAGATGTTTCATCGCACGTACAAATTTGATTCTATTCTGGGAGGCACTGAAGAGATATTAGGGGATCTAGGAGTTCGACAGGCGATGAAGATCATGCCTAAGGCAATGTTATAGGTTCAAAAGGTGTGAACCGAATGTTACAGAGCAACGAGTAGTGATCATTTATTCATGTAGTCAAGAAGCGTCAACTCTGATATTGTTGATCTATTGATGCATTCTATTTCATTATATAGGTACTTTGTTGTGGCAAGGCTGGAGCGCGAGGCTGCGAGGCTACGCTGCAGATGACGTCGAGGGGCAGAAGGAGAAGGAGCGCCTCCTCCGGCCTCACAACCACCAACCACCACCGTCAGGAACAGCGTCTCGTTGTTCTAGTTTGACATCTCAACACGACTAGACTAGCCATAATCCACCATGTCGGCAAAGATTGCAAAGACAATAGCACGCCAGAAAGAGAAGTAAGTCTACAGAAATCTCGACTGCTTGATCCCCATCCTACCCAGACACGACAACCTACGATCTTCCAACCAATCTATAGCAGTGGCCTTGTTGTCATGACCACCCTCTCTAACACTCGAACAGGATCGCCGAGGGCAACTTTTACGAAGCTCATCAACAACTACGAGTCATCACCTCGCGATACCTTAAAGCCACCGACTACCCTTCTGCCTGCGATGTTCTGTTCAACGGATCTCTCCTCCTACTGCGGGCTGGTCAAGGTGGATCAGGAGGGGATCTGGCCCTGATGCTTGTCAACGATGTGTACATCAAAGGAGAATGGACGTGCGACGACCCAAACAAGAAGAGACTGGTGGAGATTCTACAGGCTTTCCCCAAGGACGAACCCACCCGCAAAAGATTCATCAGCGAGGCCGTCAGCTGGTCAAGCCGCTTTGGCGATTTGGAAAGAGGCGATCCTGACATCCATCATGAGGCTGGAAAGCTGTATGCCGAAGGTACGTCGGAAGTTAGATTTTCAGTCGAGCTCCCGCCGAGGAAGATGCACAGTATATTTTTTGATATTTTGTCTGACATTGATACCTAAACAGAAGGAGAAGCCTATGATGCGGAACGACATCTAATTCTTGGAACGGTACACTCACCTCGCATTCTCGCGTCATTACACTACACGTGGTATCAATTGGATGCACCCCATCTAGCACCCATCTACGCCTCACGCTCAGTACTGCCATATCTGATCGTCGGCAATCTAGCATCGGCCAACAGCGCGCTCAGCACCTTCACGTCCCACCTGACATCACACAACCCTCACCTGCTGGCCATGTCCCAACCGATTGAGTCGGCCAAGTCTGGGACTAGTCTACGTATTTTCCCTTCGATTCCGTTGTTGAATTTCCTGTCGCTAGTTGTCTTGGCGGCTCAAAAGGGCGATGCTGGTCTGTTCCGGCAACTGGCCAAGTTCTACGCGCCTCACATCAAGGAAATGGAAGGCCTCTGGACGGATGCTTTGGCCCAGATTGGTGAAATCTGGTTTGGAATCAAGATCCCCCGACAGGGAGGCAATCCATTGTTTGACATGATGGGCAGCATGTTGTTTGGAGGAGGCGGCCAGGGCGGCGCTGCTAAGGGCAGTGGTTCGGGAAGCACGCCTCGTAGTGGAACCCCTAAACTCACCGCAGGGTCGACAGCAAAAAAGGAAGCAGAAAAGCCGCCGACTATGGACCTGGATTGAAGCCGATGAATGGTGGCTTTCTTCTCCTTGTTTAACCATACTTTCGACGAGCAGGCAGAAAGACAGCCGTGATCGCAGAAAACTGGCTAGGCAGGTAGCCAATATCGTCGACACATCGACCAGAACGAGATCTAAGTTGTGCTCGAGATTCCTCTGTTCCATATCTATGGCGCTATTGGTGCCTGCTGTGTCCATGTGACGTGTGCAACCACATTACCCAGCCTATGCCACCATCCCGTTCTTCTAACTATCCATGGGCTTGAGGGAATGATGTATAGTCCATAAACTGGTAGGCCATCTATATGAAGAGGACGATGATGGATTGGCGTCATGGTGCCGGGATATGACATCTATTGAAGAGGTGACCCAGCGAGCATCAATCACTGGCAAATTTTGCACGTGTTATCGTTACAGTTCTGCCCACACATGTCGAGGCAGATGAATTCTCTTTATCAATCTACCATGCCTTCGTCTCGTGACATTCCAGACCCTGGTGCGCCCAAATCACCAAACATCCAATTCTCGTCGTCGGCTTTAGCCACTTCTCGCCGAAGACTGGCTGTGATGAGGCTCATGAGTTCCTCCTTTTCAGCCTCCGACTCGGTATCATCTCCGGCCTCGAGTCCCGACGCATCCATGTCGATACCGACCCCGACCTCGTGGGCTCTCCTCCTTCCGCCACGTCGATTTGCTGATGAAGTGGGTGTGTGGGAATCTGTCACTCCTGTTTTGCTCTTTGCTCTGGCCCGCTGCCTTGCCATCATTTCCCGCAATAGTCTTTCAATCCGCTCGCGATCCCGTCGTTCTTCATCTGCCTCAATTTCTGCCTCTTCCTCGGCGCGTAGTTGTGCCGCAGTATGCGTAGAAGGACCCATGCCTGCTATTGGACTCATGTCAGTATCTCCTGAAGCGATGTGATCATGTGGTTGCTGGGGGTGACGGTGAGATCTGGTGTACGAATTCTGAGTGTCATCGTGACCCTGTCCATCGTCATACTGGTGTGTTCCCTGACCATAATGTTGTGACTGATGACCGCTCTCTAATTCGAGCTCTGCTTCATCGTCGCTGAGGCGAAGTCGACTAGGAAGTGTAGGCAGATGTGGGAGAACCGGGCGGCCGGTGGTGGGATTGATTGCGATGATGCTAGAATTAGGAAAGAGGGCGTCTTTGGACCGTGGGGATAGTGGGCGGTGAGGACTAGTGGTGGGATCATATACATCGGCCATTTGGAGAGGAACGGTGGGGATCATTGAAGGTGGGTGAGCCTGTTGGCGGAAGTTTATAGGAGGGGGAGGGTGGTGAAAAGGTGACAAGCGCGGGGGAGATGGCGAGAGGGATGGAGTAGAGACAGAGCGTTGGTGTTGATACCGCCGTGAGGCAGCATGAACTGCATTGTGTGGTACTGTTGTATTGTGTCCTTGCTGAGACCGGGCATGAGAGGGGTTGTGGAGGGTTGATTCTTGAGATTGACCTTGTATCGGGTTTTGTGAAGTTGAATGTGATGAAGATGAGGTGGTTTGAGACATGGGCTGGGAGCCTGATGCTGGACGGCGAGAAAGATGAGCTGAGAAGAGGTTGCGTCGTACTGAGGCATGAGTGGTGGGTTGCGACTGGGACGCAGGTGAGAGGAAGGCCGCAGGTTCAGGCGACGAGTCATGATGATCGTCAAGGTGAGATGGTGCGACACGTGATGAAGGCATTGTCATCAGTCTTGCACAATTGCTCCTGCCGTTATAAGATCAAGCGTCGCGTCGTGAGAGGCCAGGAAAAAAAGGGAAGGAACGACTGGGTGTGGTCGTTGTGGTCGTGCTTGCACGTGTTCGCAACTGCCGCAGACCACACGTGGGTGGTACTACCGATCAAACAAGATACTTCCCCTCGAAAGTATAACGAGGCGCATGGGCAGGGAGTTGACATGTAGAGCAGCTTATAGGGCAGAGACTTTTGCGATCTCCATAAATGTCTGCGCTTCGTAAACAAATGGTCTGGGGAGGAAGGATATGTGATGGCATGAAATTCGTGAAGTCAACGTGGAATGAATGAGGATGGTTTAGTGTTTACCTGTGTCCAAAAAAGGAAGTTTACCCGTCATGTCAGAACTACATTTGCATGTTTGTCTGTTAATGTAAGATTGGGAGAATGTTGAGTTCATTCATTGCATCCATCTTAATTGGCAATAGGTGCCTTGGAGGCAATTTGCAACCAATATCAGAAGTAAGAGGAGATAGAAAGCCAGCAGATGTATGGTGGGAGCAACCTTGGAGGGCTGAGGGGAAGATTGCACATAAGAAACATATGAACACGTGCTTCATGGCCTTTTGGATCACTGTTAAGTTAAGTATCAACTTCTTAAGTTTAAGGATTTTCACCTCATTGTCCTCAATCATCAACATTTTTAGTCAATATTTCTACAAGCATTCACTGAGCAGTATGGCTCCCGACACTGTCCAATTATTACTGCGAAGCGCTCACGAGTGCTGGTCATGCTCTGACCAGCACTTGAAGACATCGAACCTTGTGTGGGACATTAGATTGGGGACATGCCAGACTGACCGCTCAGGTATCTTATTTCACCCTCCGAACACCGAACTTGCGGACACAGCAGGATGTCACCGCTATGCTCTGCATCTGCTGCCCACTCCGTATATGCACAGTGCTGCATGTCCGAAGTACAGAAAGCCTACTGGGGGCTGGGGCTGGTTGCCCCCACGTGATGACCTCGAGATCCGGTTGAGGTGATGATGAGATGGACTATCTGGCCAATGACCACTCACAAGATTCGAGCTGAATGCACTTGATCAGTCCTGATGTTAATCTCTTCCGATTTGTTGGCGAGACCCCGAAGTGGAACTAGACTAGTGAGGAAATTGACGGTTCCAAGCATTGATGCAGGAGTGCGTTGCACAGTTGGCAGTGAGTGCTTCTCCAACAGTCATGGATTCATCCCTGGCCGGAATCCCTGATGCTCGATGTTTCGCATAAAATTTCTTGGAATGTTCCAAGTACATAGGCGACGATGAATTATGTCATGTCCAGTTTGAGCGTTGGCTGTAGTGGGGGTCACGGTCCACACGCGGACCAATTATTGTCTGTAAAGCTCTGGGCAGTTGGAGAGATAAGGATATATCATGGTACCATGGATTGGAACGCAGTCTAAAGTGTAGCCATCTCTGATGATAAAATATCATGGCGCAGCAGAGCGCGGTCTTGACACTTGGAACTATCAATTTACTAGCCGGTGACTATCATGCTATAATTATTCTCCTTTGCATCCTCTAGCCAAAACCAGATTACCAAGCCTGCTTCATTGGCCAACTCCACACGATGATCCTGTCGGCCTTGCCAAGCCATCATGCCCCTGCTCCATGCCGGTAAAACGACTTGACAAGAAGTCCGTTACCAATTACGCATGGGGATGGTCCTGCAACATGCCTGTGGATGACGTGTCTGGATAATTCAGGAGGCACAACCTCTCCCTTCACCGGAATGAATATCCAGCACGCCGAAGATCTGGTGGCGGGAGCTGGTCCTATGCACAAAGTGGTGGTGGCACAATGGTTGGTGATTCTCCATTTCTCTGCTTCTGACTGGTTCGACGCACACTACAGCGTCAGATTTCCGACGCATGTCTCATACCGGCCCTGTTAATGAAGCTGCATTTTCTGCCGCCCGCAGCTTTATCCATGATCGTGTCGTATGTATTTCACACTGCCAAAGATATGACTTCGAGATAAACAGGCACTGGACGATCTTGCTCACCGCCGCCCAGTATAATTGGAGATGTGGACAGGGCGCATGTGTGTTGCTGCGGGTGTAGGTGTATGTCCACTGGGTGCATGCCATGATGCCCTAGGGCAAAGGTCTTGCGGCGAACTAGGGCTGACAAATCTGGGCTTGTTATCTAACAACTGACCTTGCGCCAGTGCTGGATGACTGGATGTTTGCGCCCGCTCCAGTAAGTTTCGATAGGTATCATGCCTGAAAGCGCCTTTATTTAGTAAGGTTTCACAGCTCCGAAGTCTCCTAAGTGCTGAGGATCTGTAAACGAAGGTCGGGGTTCCAGAAGGTGACGTTTGAGCTGGCACTGAGAGCCTCGGAGCCAAAAGCAAGGTAGCCGAGATAATCATCAGTGGTTGGACCTCCTAAGCCGGTCAGGCCCTGAAGCAGCGGGCCCAGGTCTCCTTCGAACTCTTGCACAGTACTTTGAGCGACCCAAGACAAGACGCTTTGGCCTACGCCGTTGACACCGGTGTAGAGATTACTAGAGGTCTTGTTAGTTTTGGTCATGTTAACACATGGATGGGTGGACATACAATGTGGTGCCATTGACAGTCTCGGTCTTGAGTGAGCCCTGTCTCAAACCGATAGGCTCGGTGGCGGGACCAAAAACGGCAAACCAGACCATGACTTCGTATTTGGCGCTGGAAGAGTTCGTGGCCTTGGTGGGATCAGCATCCAAGAACATATCGATAGCGACGTTGGAATTGAGGTCAACTGAGTTTAAGTCGTTAACATTGGTGTTGTTGGGCTTGTCGTCGCCGATGCCATAGTGCCACTCGGTCGCAAAATCAATGACGGACACTTTGGAGATTTGTACGGGGAAGGTGTTGGAAGTGTCCAGCTTGATGTTAGGGAAGGCATGGACGGGTTGGGTCTCTGGACCAGGAGGGAAAGACCATGTAATGGACCACTCGGGGGCGGTTGTGTTGGTCGGATAGGTGGCATTTGCAAAAGTTGAAACCTGATGAGTTGATTAGCTTGCGTGAACAGAGTCATGACCAACAGTGATGCTGATAATACTCACGTTCATACAAAGAGCTCCCGGGCCATTGTAATCCTCCGCTACGCCCCATTGATTGGGATTCACTGTAAGTAGAGTTGGTCAGTGTCAGGCTCTCGGACCAAGATTATTGACAAAACATGATTGGCTGCGTGTCTGATTTCCAGATTTCCGCCAAATAGTGGAGGATGGGGGCGTGGGAAAGCGAGTCAAATGGCGCAGGTCCGGGACACACTGCGTGAAGCGGACCCCCAACCAAGACTAACCCTTGCTGATTCAGGTACATGATGCAAACTTTAATCCGCCCAACGCGCCAAGGCGACAGGGGGATGATCTGGCATCGGGAAAAAACGACCGACCAATGTGGCGAGGGTGATATGGGACAGAGTAGGACTCACATGTGTATTCCAGGCCCTGTGTTGGAGGATGAATACCAAAGGCGCGTTGACAATATGTTGCCATCTCAATTGCATGGCTCACAAATGGAGGTGGCATGCCACGAGATTCTCTGAATGCTTGCAGCCCCAGCAAGACACTGAGGGTGACTGCTATGGGGAGGATCAGAAACCCAAAGCTGACCAGAGATCGGAACCCCATGTTGGCTGTTGTGTGTTCGTGTGTGGATGAAAGAGTGAGAGATCGAAGGAGCACACACGCAAATGAGTGCAAGGTAGGGTGATCTCTGTGCTGTGCTCAAGATTGTCCACGTAAGGCGACGACAAAAAGACCGAAACAGGAGCCAAAGAGTGAGAAAGATGACAGAAATGGACAAGAAGCGATGAAAAAACGAAAGACTGAAAAGTTATGTGAAGTGTTGTCTCGAAAGGTGTTGATCGAGAAGAGGTTGATTAGATGGAGGCAGGAACGAAGTAGGTTGGTGGAAGGAGGAAAGAATCAAAGTGACTCGACTCGTTGGTGTGAGAAGGGGAGTGAGTACTCAAGGACTCGAGGAGTAAGAAGCAAGGCAGCGAGGGTACACAGGCCCGAGCGAAAGCTTTGTGGGTGCTATCGAGGTGCTCCCAGCGCCTCCAAGAGTAAAATCAGGTGGTCATTCACTTGGGCTCGAGTCCTGGAAATAATGAGGGTTGGCTTAGGTGCCTGCGGAGTAGGTAAGAAGAGTTGACCAAGAAATGTGTCTTGGAAGACAAGGCAGGATTCAACGCAATTACCATCTCCTGTGCACCGAGCTTTTTACGTACTCTGTCCGGAGGTAGGCGTGGGTGGAATTTTTCCTTGGTCGTGTTTTGGATGGACCCGTATTAGATTGTTGATTCCCGGCTAGAGATTGGCCAGCCTTGAGGTAATGGTGGAGTGGTTGGAGGAGAATCGGCACCAACCCTCTCGATTTGACCGACGCTCCTGCAGGTTGCAGCCTGGGGGGGCGGCTGTGGCAATCAACAGTGACAGGGATGGGCGCAAGGGCCGGGGGCCTCCCGGGGCTTACAGGGCTCCTTGCATGCCAGTGCCATGTTCGTGCAGGGGCAGAGGGGCCAGCAAGCGGACGGCGCCCCTGCCTCGTTGGGTCTGCCGCGTACGCCTCTAAAGTTAAGCATCCACGTGCATGAGGTCTAAACCTGAAATGGAGATTGACGCCTTCTCGCAACCTTCGACGGATAGGCTTGTCTTGGATTTGGCTGGTAAGACTTTGTCTCTCGAATTTCTCTAAACGAGGCAGATAAGAGAGATGGGCACAATAGCCACGGTGCCATGCTCGCTGGAAATATCACCCAACGCTGGCAATCTTAAGGTTCACTTACTCGTACTATTCTTATTCCGCGTACGAGGAATAAGGAGAGCTTGCTGCGCCTCCTGCCCCGTCTCCCAGCCTGGATGCCGCAGTTGACATTTGCCAGGTTGACAAGTCCTTGTTGACATGGGCCCGTCACTTTCATCTCTAACACGCCACATCGTCAACAAATGATCGGGACGGTGTTGTGGATGGTTCCTAGCCACCGAGAGTCAGCTGCAGAGCTACAAGGCGAGTTCAGGTCATTGGTTGGTCTCGAGGCCCAGCCATTCATACTCCGTACGGAGTACCTCTGTGGTACAATGGACATGCCTACTCCATAGGCCCTCCGAGGTAAAAGCTACGTACCTATTTGACTCAAACATCCCACAAATTTCCTCGAGTGGCAGAACAGGGTCGGCCCATTCACGCCCATCGCTCCTGCTGCCCAGTCCTCCCCCTGGCGGTTCATTGTGCCTTTCTATTACTGTGTTTGCGTCATTTGTTTCTCCACTTTGGGAAGGAAGAAGTCTTGAGGGCAAGATTGTCCCAGGTGGTCCTGATACTGACGGGAACTACTGGAACTCCTCTATTCTCGCTTGCTCCAGCCCAAAATAATGGCCGAAGGGCAAGTGGCCAGTGGTCACCAGTATGAATAGATTATGCATACAGTAGTGTCACGCTGGCTCCGGAGTGCATCTGGGAAGCTCGATTTCCCCGGTCATTCCTGCCCGTCGTTGTCGGATTCTGTAACGCTCATTCCCTAGCTTGCCCCAAGCTTTCCTGCCCACCTTTTCGTAGGTGGCCGCTCTCGCCACAACAGATGTGACCAAAAAAGTGTATCAAAGTTGATTCTTCATGCTGGTAAAGACAGGAAGATAGTACCAACCACTTCCGAGCTTGGAGTTTGGAGCTTGGAGCTTGTCGTGTGTGACCCAACCAGCAAAAGATGTACACTATCACCACTGGTACGCTGGGACAACAACAAAAGATCTCCACTTGATCAAGGCAATTCCATCTCCGCTACACACAGACGCTTGATTCCTCCGACCTTTGAATCCACTCAAAAACCTTGACGCGCTAGCACCGCTTGTCCGGTCCCCATTCCTCTCAAATCTTGATTCCACTCTTGCCTCCATACCTCCAAGCCGCGCTCCTACTACAGTACTGTTCGTTCCATTTGCCTTTCTTCATTCATCCCATTCCATCCTGCTCTTCATATCTGCAGAGGACCTCGAGACATCACCACTACAGTGGTGCTTCCCCTCGTACCTTCTCTATCCCTTCGTTTATACTCCTCTTCACCACATCACCACGTTCACTAAATACTCCTGATCGACGCATCCACAAACACGCTCCCTTGCGTGGGACAGTCCTGCTCTGATCCCCCTCTTGAGAGCACATGCCTAAATAACAAAAGTAATTTCCCATCCGTCGGACCTCATTTGTGTCAACACCTTCTGGACTCGACCAAAACACACAACCCGCTTTACACACTCGCTCGGGAGAGTCGCCATTCACCATGCCTCTCCGCAAGAATGACAGACGCTCTTCACCTCACGAGGAACCCATGACAGAGATCAGAATGTCCGCGGCTTCCACCACCACCAGTCTCAATAACACCCCAAGAGACTCAGAGTTCCAAGTTTCCAATACTCCTCATCCTGTTTATGGCTACTATTCAGAGCAAATACCTCTACAGCCACCTTCCAGCTTTCGCAGACCTGCCCCCTACGACAACCATAATAGAACCCTTTCAGATCTCATCACCGCAGAAAGCCTATCGTCAAGTCCCATCGATGGTGCAAATGGTTCTCCAATACCCCCATTTGCTCCTCGAGCCAACTCGAGCTACTCTGAACCTGGTACTCGAAACTCATCGCCATACCCTTCACCATATCCCGCTTCCACCCCCTTTGTGAGTATTATTGCCTTATTCAAACCCTCCAACTACTGACCCTTGTCCCAGCGGAGTCAAGAAACACTCAGACCCCTTGTCCCCGATGCCTCTGCAACATATCTACACCGAGACTGGGTCAAAGAAGGCTCCATTGCCCAATTACATCACAGAGACGACAAGGAATTATTAGCCGGCAAGCGGAGGAAGCTCTACACTTGGTTTGCTCCCACCCTAGGTCTGGCCACTCTCGCATTATATTGGCTCTACTTTGGTCTTCGTATCAAGTTCGTTGTCGCCGCTCAGCAGTCATTCGGCTCTCCTTTCCCTCTAGCCTGGATCTTTATTGCCGTTGAAATCAGCGTCGCCATTCCCATCTTCTTGCAAACTTTCTGGTCTCTCTTCATCCTCAAGAAGCGAAACCGCCCAAAGTTGCGCCTCATGGGCAACAACGTTCCAACTGTCGACGTCCTCATCACGTGCTGCGGCGAGGACTTTGATGTCATCATGGACACTGTACGTGCGGCTTGTGACTTGGATTACCCTCAAGACCGCTATCGTGTCCTCTTGTTGGATGATGGAAAATCCGACGCCCTCAAGAACGCCGTGGAGGAGATGCGCGAGACCTTCCCTAACCTATACTACAAACGCCGTCCAAAGTTCCCCGGTGTGCCCCATCACTTCAAGGCCGGCAACTTAAACTATGGCCTGGATGAGGTTCACACTTTGCCCGGTGGCGCTGGCGAGTTCATGGCCGCCTTGGACGCAGACATGATTCCGGAGCAGCATTGGCTCCGTGCCATCCTTCCTCATCTGTTGGTCGATCCAAAGATGGCCCTCGCCTGCCCCCCTCAATTGTTCTACAATGTTCCCCGGGATGACCCTCTCTGCCAAAGTCTGGACTTCTTTGTCAGCGTTTCCGAAACTGTCAAGGATGCTCTAGGTGTCGCTTGGTGCACAGGATCTGGCTACGCAATTAGAAGGTCAGCTCTGGACGAGATAGGTCTTTTCCCCAAGGGTTCTCTGGCCGAAGACGTCGCAACCTCGACCCTCCTTCTCGGCAAAGGTTGGAAGACCGCGTATGTTCACGAGAAGCTGCAGTTCGGAACTGTTCCAGAGGATTATGGAAGCCATTTGAAACAACGGACAAGATGGGTATGTACCCTGTCTCCTTTCACCTATCAATGCTAACGTGAACGTCACAGGCTATCGGAACGGTTGACACTGCCTTCAAGCTTCGATTTTGTCTCTGGGGTGATGCCGTGAAAAGGATGAAGTTCGCTGCGAGAGTATCGAGCTTTCTCTACGCATTCTTGAGTCTTTTCAACATCTTTCTGACCCTCTCAATCTTCGCCCTCCCAATCGTTCTAATCTCCGGCAAGCCGCTTGTGGCTTATGCAACTGAAAATCAACTTCGGTGGCTCATCAGGGCATGCTTCGCGACAGTCTTCTGCAACCGACTCTGCGAATTCGTCCTATACATTCCCTCAGGCTACGCCACTGGACAAAGAGGAAGTCGTTCTCAACTCTGGATGAGCCCGTATATCGCTCTGACCCTGATCCGTTCCTTCGTTCTCCCCACGTGGCTTGGAGGACAAGCACAAGCATTTAAGCCCACAGGATCACTGAAATCGGCTTTGAACGAGAGATTCCCCAAGCAACGCGCACCCATGTACCGAAGAATCTGGACCATCTGCGTCAACTACCTGGCTGGTTTCCACGTCGCATATGTGTACTGGGTCCTGGTTGCCGTCTGTCTCTCGTCATACCGCTGTTTCGTCACCAAATACACCACTAGGGACATCTTGATCTGCTTGGTTACTCATGCTTTCTGGCCACCGCTCCCTTGGGTCATTGTGTGTTCGTCATTTTGGATTCCCTTTACCTACGCTGTGGATCCTCCCAGCATGCCCGACCGAGAAGAGCTCCTCACACGAGATCCCAAAACGGGAGTTGCTCATCCTACCAAAGAAGCAAAGAAGATTGGCCTCGGAAAACAATCTTGGCTCTTTGAATTCGAATACAGCTTCACAACTATTTTCACGGCCACGGTGTTCGTGGCGACGTTCTTTTTCTAAAAACAATTTACAACTTAATGATGATGAAGATGGACAGCAACACTCGTCATATCAGTTTTACACCCACAATGGGTACCGGTGCAGGAGGCGATCTGTCAATTATTTGGGCCGAGATCATGGATCTCTCAAGCAAGACATCTGTACAAACGACGGCATAGACACGGACGCGTTATTTTGATACATTGACACGCCATTCTGATATGGATATGGGGATGGGGATGGCGTGGGACAGTCACCAAACTCTGACGGACCGACTGAGAAAGACTGTGATGGTGACGAGACTGTCCCTACGGGACAATAATGAGTATTATAGAGGTTGCTGATACAGGGACTGTTACTGTGAATTGGAGCTTATGTCGAGGTTGGGATTCTGGGGAGGCGTGGCGGGAATCTGGCAGGAATGGTTTCTCGCAAGATATCGACATATTGTGCATTGCACCAATTGGGTAGTACAAGTACAATACAGTAAAGTCAGTGTCACTTATGATGATTCCTTTTTGTGATTTTGCCACGTTCTATGTAACCCATGGTCACGTTTGCTGTTTGGCCTGCAGATATCCTTGAATAAGGGTGACATACACAAGCGAAGCAAGAGACTCGCAAAGAAGCGACAGAAGTGCATCATGGTGATGTTCCTCTAGCAAAATCTAGCACGATCAACAATGTAATGAGCCACAACAAACATTTACACAGCTCTTGAGATTATTTAAGCGAATGTCAACGTCAACGTCAATGCGGATGTAAAATGTGAACGTTCATGTGTGATCTGTGGTCTGTGGTCCGTGGTGATCCGTGTGATACCGGCGGGTTGACAGGTTCAGACTACAATTTCGGCTGTGATGCGCCGCCACCAGGCTGATTCGAGACAAACGAGCCATCAATCTCCTCGAATTCTTCCAATCTCGTGAGCTTGCCCTGGAGGTATGGACCCGTTCCTTTACTACAGAGTGCACAAAAACCGAGGGCACTGGTCAGCGATCTATGGGCTTCAAAACACAGAACTAGCAACAAAGAATTCCAAAAGTGAAAGAACAAGAGTGGGGTTGAAAAGAGATGGAATCGGTACTGTACTCACAACATATTTTTGAATTCCTTGGTCTTGCCGTGGGCCCCAATGGCAGCGAGATCCTGATATCGTTCGAAGAGCAAGACCTCGTTGGGGGCCTTGGGTCGTGTGAGAACACAGTATGTCAGGGTGGTTGGTTCGTTGTCTCGAACCCAATTGCAGTAATTGCTGGTGGTGGATAGTGGTCAGTCATATGTTGTGTGTTTCAACGATGGTAGGCATGCAAGGAGAGATGATGATCGTCCACCCAACGAGACAAAGGAAGCTTCCAGCGAGTTTGGGCCCTGATGATGATGCCGTCTCCGCTGAATTCTCCTCTCCTCGTGGTGATTCCTCATCCATGGTATTGAACCATTCCAACACACCCAGAAAAGATATAACAGGCCGAACTTACCCAAGGACCTCGACCAACTTTTTGGTATTCTCAGCACCATCCTTTGCCACGAACTTTGCTAGAACGGCAATGCCAGCTGGGGGAGTTTGGGTAGAGCTTCTGGCGAGGAAGCCGGCGGTTGGGTACCAAGCGGTTTGATCTTCGTCCTTTGCATAGAGGTCCTGGCTCTCCACCTGAGCCATGAAGCTCTTGAACTCGCTAGCATTTTGAACGTATCCGAGCGACGCCGGCGATGTGTAGATCTCCAAACCGATGATTATCGGTGGCGATGATGGCGGGAATAAGCCCTTGAGTGCCCCCTTGCGTGTCGACGGCGACAAGTAGCACCATGTCGTGCAGTTGGTTGCTGGTGCCCGGAAGAAGTCTTTGGGAAGAAGACTGAGGATCTGTTGTTGCATCAAACGTCAGCGTCAGAGCGCGACCATGTATGTTGCAACTATTCAACATAGTCGTCACGACTCCTTTTTCAAAGAATCAAAGGAGTTTACAAGTAAAATGAACTATTTGGAAGCACATGAATACATCCCATTGCTGGACTTGACACGATATCACGTGACAACACAGATATGATGCTGTGGTTTTATACAACCAATTGATGGACTCATCACTGACAAAGACCAATGTCGATCTGGAAGTTGACCAATCCAAGACAATGAAGAAAGCTGCGCACACAGAAGACAAAGGGAAAATAGAAAGACATACTTGTTTTCTCTTCTCCTCTGTTTTAGGATGAATAATAGCCATGAGGGCCAGAGGCTTCTGGGACGACGACATTGTGCGTGGATGATTGTTGTTATGATTGACTAAGACACGGGCAGTCGTATCTATATTGGACTCGATTTAAAGTCTGTTGGAGGGTTGTATCTGTCGTGGTGGTCTGATTTGTTATTCAGATGTCGCTTCTCTCTCACATACGAGACTGCAAATTGGAGACCGTCCTTTATTTCTCGATGAGGTCACTAAAGGGAAAGACTTCGTAGCCGAGGGATGTTTCTCCAGCCAAGGAGTCGCACTGTAAATTCGGAATCTTCACAATTGGAATGGAAAGTCGGAGAGGTAATGTAAGGAAAAGTGATTAACAAGAACAGCAAACATGGATTCTCATCCCAATACCAGATCAGCCGCGGCAATATATTTCAGTTTAAACATTAAGCTTTGGGGTATTAAATGATAAGGTCAATTGTAATCATAGCCCATAATAATAATCCCACAGTCTCCCTCATTCCAGCGTATGTCGTATTGTTTTCGGCACAGGATGGAGAAGTATTGTTGCTCATATGGGGGGGGGGGGAGGTAGGTTTGACAGATTCTGATTCTTACCTCGGCACGGCTAATGTCCGGTGTCTACTGTCATACTGCCGTGGAATTCGAACAAACATCCCGTCGTTTGGTCAGTATTCTGACCTTGCAACCAAAGTCTTCGAGATATCCTGATCATCAAGCGGTAGGCAGTACATGGGTGGTCCATGATGGTTGTCAAGGCTTCTTGGTTGTTCAGTGTATTGATTATCCCAAGCGCTAATGTCTCGCTCATCAACTATCAAGCTATTGATTATACAAGGTAGTGAGGTACACCTGTGTACCCGTTCCCATATTGCTACACGATATTATACTCATCAGGTGGCATGGACTCTAATCAATATGGACAAGAGCACGCAATACGCCCGCTAACTCTGGCAGCTCGTCATCCATCGTTCTTGTCGCTTTTTGGTAGTGCTCCCATGTTCCTCCCAGCAAGATATCTCCACAGTCTCCAAATTTCAGTGATCAAGCCCAGGTTCTGGTTGAATTTGGCCTTGACAAGGATCAGGTAATCTTGATACACGTCATCTACTGGCGGTGAACCACTTAGTGGCGAATAAACCACCCTGGCACTCGAGGCTGGCCCTCGAAGGTGCATTGCTCGGCAGGAATTAATGATTTGGGCGAGCCTTTCGAGGTCCTGCTTTGTTGAATCTGGCAAATCGTCCGGTGAGTTGTCTCCCTCAGGATTCAGAAGTCGATGCAGGGAAAAGACTGGAAGGCGGTACTTGTCCTCAATCGGGATCATCGGTGGAATCAGCGAATTCTGTAAGTAGGATGGGAACGGTCGTGCATTCGCGTGCGTAGAAGCCGCGGGAAGCAGCTGTTCAATGTCTGATTTCCCCACATGGACAAATATGCTGCCCGCGAGCCACCTCTTGGGCATGGTCACATCACATTCCTGGGAGTATTCGTCCTCGTCGAGATCCTCGCTCGGAGACTCAGCGGGTTTTGAAGTTTGGTTTGGATCATGCTCTTGGTCTGTACCATGCTCGACTGCAATTCCGGCCTTTTCAAAATCAACGTGCACCTGGTCCAAGTCGTCTTTTGGGAGTTCGATGATGCCAAATTCACCAAACTCAAAATGTCCGGTCTTTCGAGGTATTGGCATTGCTTTCAAGGCTCGAGCCCATAGTTTGGGCTCCTTTGTATTCATTTTACCTGCCAAGTTTGACAGAGCCACCAAAACCCGCTGTTGAATGATCCTCGTCAAACGTTGAGGCATATCGGGTTGCCACTCTAGCTGACTAACGTCAAACATATCCTCTCTGCGAGGCGCTTCGTGTATGGTTCCAGTAGCGAGGCCAAACTCGACTTGATTTCGTTCGTAGTGAAGTGCTGCATTCAGTTTCCCACGCGAGCTAGGGGAGAAGAGGCGTAGTGCTTTATACGATAATGAAGGTCCGGCGGTATTTGGCTTCTTTGGATACTTTTCTCCAAGCGTATAAGTGACAAAGCGCATGAAGTTGATATTTGTCAACATGCGAAGAGTGGGCATGAGATGACGTAGAGGAGGGTCTTCAGGCGAGCTTGGGACAACGGGATCCTTCTGAGATGAGTGCTTTGCGAGGGCTATCTGTTTATTGCTTGATAGCTGCGATGGGTTGGCTTGGGGCTGAGACTTGCCGAGTCGGTTGCCCATCTCACGCTCGAGTTCATCCAAGTCGGCAAGCTTTTCGGGCATCAGATATATGTCATTGTTGGGGGCCTTGACAAGATTGAAATCGGTCAAGAGGGCTCCCGGCAGGCGAGAAGAGCTGTGTGTGCACGGTCTCACAGGGGAAATCAACATTTGCGCCCATGGGTTGTTTCTCAGGTTGACCTGTTCTAGCGCACTAGGACGTCTCTTGGTAAGCTTTGCCGTGTATCTGCGGACCAACGGCGATTTGGTAGCATGAAAGGTGAGGTTCGTGGGTGGAGGCTTTGAGGATTGAGGTTCGTCGCGAGCGGCTTCGGCGAGCTTTTGGACATCAGTTGCCAAATTTTGTAGATTCTCTATCTCCGCGCCAGCAAAAGGATTGGGTTCGCGTTTAAGCGGTCGAGGCAATCGGAAAGGCCTTTGTTGTTCCGGTTCATCCTGAAACTCAGTGGGTTTGCCATGTGACCCATCTTTCTTCCAACCTCTCCAGGGTCGGAAGGTAGCTTCACTGCTGTAGCCTCGTCGTTGTTGGGGATGTGTCGGGTTCGGACCAGTAGTGGAAAGAAATTGGCTAGTCCTCGAGCCTGTGGCGGGTTGACGTGGGAGTCGAATGGCGGGGAGACGCCATGTCGCGGGATGTATGTGCCGGTATGGACAGTGCGTGCTCATACCGGCCATCAAAGTCTGAGAGTCATTATGGCTCTACGCAGGCAGATGATGGAATACCACAAATCTGTTGAAGTGGTCGAGACAAAAAGTGATGCGAAGGGAGCCGCCGAGAGGGAAGGTAGCCCGGCTTGGCGCTACACAAGGCTGTAGGACGAAGGGGTTGAGACGAGGCTGACATGATTGGGGGTGTCGATGGTGAGGAGAGGATGATGGAGGAGGAGGGAGGAGAACTTCATAAATCAACCATTCAGTTGAAATTCAATATCTAAAGTAATGAAAACGAGACATGTTGTACATATATGATACAAACAACGACGGCGTCCAGCGCCGACCTCAGTGCCGACTTTTTCTTCGGCGATGAACTCCCCCTTCTCTCACATCGTTCGCTGTTGATACACACAAGAATGCTTCAATCGTAACTTGAGAGGATGTCTATGTATGTCGGGAAAGCTTTATGGTTACCCCTCCACCGACTTTGAGATTTGTTGGATCAAGAGGTCGCCTTTACTGGATCATCCCATGGGATATTATCATTTGAAGTCGCCCATTCCGGTGCCTTGCCTTGTAGTTTCGCTTCTCTGAGGGTTTGTTTCTCATCGTCTGCCTTCCTTTTGCCTTCCATTGTTGCTGGCCAGTTTTTGCAGTTGGAATAGCCGCACTGGCACCCATATATTTGGATGTTCATCCAGTAAGCCGGTCCATAGTCAATTGTGAGTTGCTCCCCAAAGGCAATATCCCGGACTGTTGAAATACAAATCCTTGAGATCTGTCCAATGTTACGGAGCACGTATTCACAGTTGGGACGGCAGCTGTGATTGATGAATCTAGTCCAATTGCCCAAGTGCGTTGCCTCAATTCCCATTTTGTAGTAGTGGCGCTGGTAGATGACATCGAGGTCCATCAGATATCTCGAATTACCGTAGATCGCAGAGTCTTCAGGGACAATTTCTCCAAGGTACTCCCCAATGACAACATGAGGTTTCATGTTTCTCAGACTCCTCACCCCGGTGCCCATTGTTTCGGTATCCACCAGCTCCATGAGCATGTTGGGGAGGTTGTTTTTCGTGAGGAACTCTGCAAAAGTACAGTCGCACTGTTTAGCGTTGATGGCATCTTCCTTGGTCGAGTAAGCGTTGCAACACTCACAGGATCCGATAGGTTTGGAATCGCCATCCCTGTTATTCCTCTTTGGCTCCACGGACCCGCAGAATCGAGGATCCCGCCCTCCGTTGCCGAGTTGGAGCCTTGGGTGCCATCCGGGGATATCGTAGAGTACTTGACTATCGTCTAGATCGATCTGATATACCGTCAGCTCTGTGTCCACGACAGGTTTGAGCTCCGAGTTGGCTGTTCTCGGAAGCAAGGCCTCCGTCATCGTGATTTTGGCCGTCGGTCTAAACGCGGGCACGTTGGGACCCTTCAATGCCCATTGGCCCTGCCTTCTTTCTTCCCCTATGTCATGCACTTGTTTGATTTCCTTTATCGTGTACCCGAGGTTTGGGTTTCCAGCAAGCGTGGGGTCTTTAGGGCCTACATAAGCGAAGAGGGTCCTGAAATCGTCATCATAGTGGTCCAATGCCTCTCGCCAGCGGAGGTTTCTTACCAGAGCAAAGAGTTCCAGGCTAGCCGCGTTATCGACGATCAGGCGGTACAGACCTGCCCACATGGGCTTTCCTTTGGCCTTTGTATCTGTTCGTTGATCGATCTCTTGAAAGGCCTTTCGGAACGTTCGTGAGTGTGCACATACACTGAGTATCATCAGGTTGGGCTTCCGGGTGAACTGAGTATAGCGCCGTGCCACTTCTGGTTCTGTGCGTAGATCTGATAGAGCAGCGTCGAGCACCCTCTGCAAATTGGGCCGGGAAGTTTCGACTTTTCGTAACCTATACGTGGCAGTCGCCTTGTTGTCTCTATACATTGCAAGAGTCTTGGCTGTGCGCAAGAACAAACGAGTCACGTCTCTATTGCCCTCAAATACTTTGGGGCTGTTGGTTGGGTCATGATCATAGACCATCTGGTCTCGGGCAACCTGGTCTATCTCGACGTAAATGTTGGAAAGGATTTTCCCCAAGTTTTTCTCCTCGGGAGTTTGGATCAGTTTTGAGCCGGTGATATGCTCAAAGAAAACCACCTCCTTTTTGGTCTTGCGATTGCTCACGGTCTTCGATTTGGCTTTGGCTTTGGATTTGGATTTCGCGGATGATTTGGTCACCTTGGAAGGGCTTCCGAATCTGGGAGATGATGTAACGGCCTCCGAAGAGGTTGCCACCTTGGTGGTCGACCCGGCTATATTTGAGGATTTTCCTATTGGTGGAACAGAGTCATTCTCGTATCTCTTTGGGAGTCTGATGGGTCTTGGAGGGCGATTTTTCATCGTGACAATCTATGTATAGAGGAGAAGAACAAGATGAAGATAGTATAATGCAATCCTTGATGGAATGAAGAATAAAGTGGAATGTTGCGACGAATTGATTGGGAAATGAGAAATGCGCCATGTCAACATCTCTGGGATGGCAAGAGATATAGGATCCAGCTCGGACAGAAATAGCCACAAAGGGAGCGCTTGGATACAAGCCATTGACAAATGAAGAGCTCGAAATACTCATTGACACAAAGCCAAGGCTGTGAATAGAGAAGGCATGGTCTGGCAGAATGCGACAAAGAACAATGGGTGAGGCTGGTGTACATCACTGACCTTCAATAGGCTTTCAAAGACCAATGGATCTGTAAATAGCATTGTCAAGAAGTTGTGAATTCACTCATTCGTCCAAGGGGGAATAATTGTATGTTTAGATCGAAGAGAAAACAAGCAGATGTTCGATCGAAGAGAAAACAAGCAAACGTTCAGATCGAAGAGAAAACAAGTAGATGTTCAGATCGAAGAGAAAACAAGCATGTGTTCAGATGCAACGGAAGGACTGACAGTAAGGTCGCAACAGAGTCAGTGAGATGGCACAAAGAGGCTTGCTAAATCAGCATGGTGTCAGTTTTGATGGCAAAGCAAATGCTGAGCAGATGGGTGAATAGATGGATTGAAAATGAAAGCCACAAGTCGTGATAATACTCCCAAGCTCCGTCGCATGTGAAACCTTTGGACACAATAGAAAATGGCAATCTTCAAACGGTTTCAATGTACCTCCGGACCTCCCAATCAGTCACAGCCTCGTCCCAAAGTCGAAGTTCATGTTCTCTTGTTCCTCCAAAGTGGTCAACAAAGGAATCTCCAAAGACCTCTCTAGCAATACTTTCCTTGGCCATGAACCTGGCTGTACTATCTTTGAGGTTTTTGGGCAGACGCTCGCCACTGTCGCTGGACCCGCCCACGTCCTCACCTTTGCCCAAGGGCGGAACCGGAATCTCGAGTTTCTTTTCGACACCTCTCCAACCCAAGGCAACAATGGTTGCCAAAACCAAGGATGCATTAGAATCGGCGCCACACACGCGAATTTCGAATCTTGTTGCCTTGGGAGAAGCAGTCGGGGGTGAGATGACTCGGATGGATGCCGCACGATGTTCCAAGCCCCAAGAAACAGTCACTGGAGCCCAAAAGTTCTCGACAAGGCGTTTGTAGGAATTTATAGTGGGTGCAATGATGGGCATGACATCAGGGAGACCATGCAATAACCCAGCAAGGAAATGGCGGCCGAGGTCGGATATGTACTCCAGGTCAACATATGGGGGATTCGGGTCTCTTTCGCCGCGATAGAAGAGATTCTTCCCTGCCTTGTCGACGAGAGAGCAGTGCACGTGACCACTATTGCCTGGGAGTCCCTCCTTTGGTTTGGCCATGAAGCTTGGGGTGATGCCATGCTTGCTACCGATAGCCTTGACCACATACTTGAACAAGGATGCGCGATCCGCCATTTCCGTGATCTCACCGAATTCCAGTGCGGCTTCGAAAACACCGGGGCCAGACTCGGTATGCCAGCCTTCGATATTGCAGTTGAACTTCTCACATGCATCCCAGACGCCATAGAACCAATCTTGGTTGTGAATGGGATCCGTCAGCGAGTACCCAAACATGCCTTGAGTGAGGTGGGGAAGAGATTCAACGGGGTTTGTCATAAGAAAGGCTGCGGTGGTGGATGAAGAAGGATGGGCGGATTGGGATGATTCATCTTTCGGGGCGCGATATGTGAAGAACTCGTATTCTGCACCAGCCATGGCGCCGTAGCCAGCATCATTCAGCTTAGCGACGGCAGTGCGCAGCAGGCTTCTGGGGCAGGCACTGATGGGCTTATCGGTGTCTGGATCGTAAAAGCTGACGAGGAAGAATGGGATGTTGTCTTCCCATGGGATGCGGCGATAACTACCCAAGTCGACCTTGGCCGTTATGTCTCTGTATCCATTCTCTTTATTGCTGATCTCGAGTTCGCGGAAGTAGGTCTGGTCATGCATATCCCAGCCAAAGGTGACGCTGCAGAATCCAAAGCCATCTTTCGCCACGGAGAGGAACTTTTTCTTGGACACCAACTTGCCCCTAAGGATTCCTGAGGTTGTTAGCAGATAGACCTGGACAAGGGGAATGAGCGCGTGCCATCTACGTCAATGCCGGCGAGTTTGACCTTGGTATCTTGGGCGAGTTCAGTTTGCAATTGATCCAAAGTCAGGATCTTATCGGTGTTGCTGCCCATGGCTGGTGGCAGTGAGGGGTTGAGGAGGAAGGATGACGAAGAGATCAAGGCAGAAGAGAACGAGGAAGGAATGCTCAAGGACGCAAGGGCTAGATAGTATCAGGCGCAGTGACATCGATTCTTCCATGCCACCATGTCTCCGTACGGACACAAGTCTTGTATATTCTGCGGGGAGGTTCTAAGTAGCGTGGTATCGCAGCTGGAGGGACACGAGGGATTGCTTCATTGCGTTGGTGGCGTTCTTTGGTGATTGCTGATGTGGGTGCTATAGGCCTTCTGAAGCCTACGAAGAGCTTGTGTGGAGCCTGCGGAGCCCCCAATGGCTCCCCCTCGAGCCTAAGTCCGAGTACCAACCAGTAAGCATGCTCACTAAGCTGTACGATAAGCTTAAAGAAAGTCTCTCGCAGGCCCAAGACGGACAATGCCAGCCCGAGGGAGCCTAGAAACAAGGTCGTAACCCTGCTTAGGTCCATGCGCTCCGGCGGCAAATGCCCCGATGATGCATGAGAGGAGCGTTGCATTGGGAGCTGAGTAGCTTTGGAGACGAGGAGATGAGGAGTTGAGAGTAACAATGCTATGGTGAGAACCTCACCCGGTTTTCGATGATGAGAAACACATCAACTCATGATTATAAGTAGATGTCTAAGGTATGTATTAGTAGGTGTCTGGAACTGTCCTTCTTTTAGAAATTATGTTACCTGAGTATTAATGTTGGCGCTGTTGCACCCTCGAAAAGGATGAATCCCAGCATGTTTGGCATAATATCCCAGTTACATATTCCAAAGTCCACTCATTGATGCAGGTACATGAAAAGATGCAAGGCTGTAACGGCTGAGCATCAACGACCAATGTTTCATCATCCATTGTATTGATATGTGTCGATCCCAAAGCTGCTCCTTCAGGTACCAACAGACCTACATTCCTTGCCGTGCTTGATCTGCATTGTTTAGGGCACATCCGCCGGGAGACCCTCACCCTTGAGCCCCTCACATCAATTTGGATGCACCCGTGGGGACTCGCGGTCACCTGCATGTCTACGGTGTTTGTACGCATGGGTGCATATCACCAAGCGGCGGCTTACCGTCGGAGAATTTCTGTTGCTGCAAAGAGGCACCTTGGCTCTTGTACAGTATCATCATCGCTCGTCTCGACAAAAAGGCGCACATCAACACTTCGAGTGAGATAAGGTTTCCACACCCGGGCCACTTTTCGTGACTTGTTACCATTAATCACACAGGCTAGATCATTGAATCACTTGTTCTTTGTGCATTGTTCTTGAAGTGTCTCTCACGCACTCGTCGACTTGTTGACTTGCACCTTCTCTATTCTTATTGACACATCCATCTCTGGGTCGCACCTGCCCTGCCTCCCATCTCAACGCCTTAGTCATCGCATCTCGTGACTTTCTGACTCACACACACAATCAAAGCAGATAATCACAACCGTCACTACAAGGACACCAACAGACTTCAGCCCTCCGAGAAACTCCTCATCATGGCTACAGTGACTCGACCTGGCCGCGTGGCTGGCAAAACTGCACTAATCACTGGTGCCGCCGGAGGAATTGGGCTCGAGACGGCGATTTTGATGCTCCAAGAGGGGGCCAGCGTGGTCTTGACAGATATTTCGGAGCCGGCTCTCGAGAGGGCGCTTGCCAAAATCCATGAATTGATCCCCAAGCCGATCGGTCGCGTCTCGACCATCAAGGTCGACGTTTCGAAAGAATCCGACATCGCCTCTGCCATCGAGGCCCAAGACGAGCACGGCGGCATTGACATCATCTTCAACAATGCCGGTATCATGCATGCACAGGACGACGATGCCGTCAACACGTCGGACAAGATTTGGGATCTGACCCAGTCCATCAACGTCAAAGGTGTCTGGTATGGTAGCAAGCACGCCGTGCTGAGCATGCGTCGGAACAAGAAGAAGTCCGGATCCGTCATCAATGTCGCCAGCTTCGTCGCCTTGGTCGGCGCCGCCACTCCTCAGCTCGCCTATACTGCTTCCAAGGGCGCAGTTCTGGCTATGACACGTGAGTTGGCCATCGTCCACGCACGGGAGAATATTCGATTCAACTCATTGTGCCCTGGACCATTGAACACGCCTCTGTTGCAGGATTGGTTGGGTGACGACTTGCAGAAGAGACATCGGCGCGAGGTTCACTTCCCCAGTGGAAGATTTGGTGAAGCTATCGAGCAGGCGCAGGCTGTCTTGTTCCTAGCTAGTGACGAGAGTAGCTTTGTCAACGCCACCGAGTTCGTGGTCGACGGCGGCTTGTCTCGGGCATATGTGACCGCCGAAGGGCCTGCTCCAGCGCCCCCTCTGAACAACGTTCGCTGATGGAGCAGTCAACTACGTCAACGAAACTTTGTCACCACATGAGGTGGCGTCTTTGGCATGGGCTACGAGTTTTAGATCTCTGTTTGAGGTGCAGTCAATTCTTTAACTCAGGACCGCATGATATTTCACTACACAGGAGCATGATTTGCTGTTTATAAAACCCATCAATCACGGATCTGGAAGAATTTGCTGTATTGTCACATTGGATTTTCGAAAGTAGTGATTTACAGATGATTTGACCCGCTGGGACAGCGTGTCCTGAAATGTGGGAGAGTACAATATTTCGGGTAGTCTCAAATCGAGCGATCAGATCCCCCTCTTTCGGATTCCTTTCGGACCATGGGCGAGACTGCCTCGCGGCAACAACCAAACTGGCGTCTCTGCTCTGGACAAACCCTTGGAATTCTTCAGTACACCTCCAGTGATAGTACACGGCTAAGCCTTGCTCAGCTAATTCGACGACACTGTTCCAATAGAGTATCCCATTCTCGTCTTGTGTGGCCTCGTCCAGTATATCATATTAGCGAAATTTCGACTTGCTCGTCCAAGGCGAGTGCTAGTATCCAGAGTGAGATCTTGGCCAGGACGCAATGAACAAAACCGGTAGAGAAGGGGCGCAGGCCAAAGCGAGGCAGTGCGGGACTTGGTTGCAAACTCTCGAAGCTCAAAAGTCTGGTTCTCGATTCAACAAGAAAACCAACTCATTTCCACTATGCAAGAATTTACCACTCGTGTCCAACTGACATGATCTCTTCTTCCCTTGGTGTTCAAAATTGATTTTCATAATTCCATCCTGGCTCGCGAATTTGCGAACACTGATAAATACGTAAAAGGCGGCCTTGCTGAACGCTCGCGCGACCAAGATAAAAGGATTGGAAGTTGGACTGGTGTCTGCAATGAACTTGGGTTCTTCAATCGGTCGAACAAATGTGTTTTCTGCATTGACCGCAAAAGGAGCAACAGTATACTGTCTCGGAGCCAGAAATGGTAAAGGGCGACGGACTTGTAGCAGCAATTTGGGAGAGCCTTGCCGTGATATGAGGTCAATGGATCGGACCATGTGAAGCGGTCTCACAAGTGACAGACCTCCTGCCATGGCACAGAAAGCGATTCCCACTTTCCAAGCCAGCTTCACTTTGTTATTCAGACTCGGATTCTTGTCGACTCGCCAGGCATCGTCTAGATAGGTCATGGCCAACGCCATGCCGATACCAGAGGCGCCAAAGAAGTACGACGCACAGAGCATTCCAGCATGTGATGGAGCTCGATACAGAATCGTAGTGCCAGCACTTAGCAGTTTTTGCGCATAATGGTCCTTCGCTACATCTTCGTTTTTCAGCCGGCTGGCAGGGGACGGAGGTCGACGCGAGGGAATCGGAGGGGAAGGGAGTTTGGAGGGCGACCGCTTGGGGGCATTTTTGGGTGAGGGGATAGCCGCCCTTTTGGAACATGATGTATGGAGGTGTCGGACGGAAGAGGTGTGGATTCCACGACTACATAATGTAAGTCGCATGGTGGACTGCATGGCTACCGACTAGGGTGGAATGACACTGGGTTGCGACAAGCTGGGTACGCAACCTGTAGTCAATTTGAAGGGAGAGAACGATGTAAGGAATTGGGTCGAAAATATGTCAACTCATGGTATCAACTTCCTAGTAGTAAAGCTTCGATTGGTCAACAGGTTCGTCAAAAGGCATCAGGATTCAAGTTCCTGGCATATTGAGGTCGATTGAGCAACGCATGATTCAAAATGTTTGGAGAAGTTGTGAGATCCACACGAGGCTGACGGAGAAGATTCAAATTAGGAAATTTGCCCGAGAGTCCTTAGTCACGTGAACATCAATGCCACGTTGCTTTCATCACGACAACTACCTAGGGACTTTCTTGTGGTTGTCTCTCGTGTCTCATAAATGCATACCAACGTCCTCCGACTCCTTCTTGGTCGATTCCATCCCAGCACCTTGTTGAATTGCCTCGAGCAACCTGGGTGAAACACTGCTAGGGTTCTTCTCCTCAATCACTTGTAGTAGTTTGATAAAGAATTCTTGTCGGAGCACCTCCATCAAGATATCGCCACGATCAATCATGTGTGACGCGGCGTACCGAAGTAATCCTCCATATAGTCGGTCGCTGCCGTCCTCTTGAATATACTGCGACTCGATGCTGGGAAGCGAGGAGGTGGTGACGGCGCTCCAATCAAGTTGCGCCGAGCGGGCGACGAAGTCAAAGAGTCGAGCTTGAGAAATGGTGACGAGTTGCAATCCTTTTTTGGTCTTGATGTCTCGGTTGGATCGAACAAGGGATGTCCACTCAAACAGGATTGCATATACAGCCGGGTCGTGAAAGATCCTCCGCCATATAAGTCCCTGGCCTTGTGCTTCTCCCACCTGTTCTCCTGAAACAACGACAGTGACGTTGTTCGTGTTATCAACCAATAGTAATGCCTCAATCACTTGCAAAGCACGATCGGCGATTTCGGTGTTCTCAGTCGACAGCCAAGTGTTCAAAAGAGTCTGCATAAGAGTAGAGGTACTTGCAACGAACGACGCGCCACTCGGGGTGTCAGCAGCTTTGCTTATGTAGGCCAAGCATAGGAGCTGGATAGAAGAAGACAACGATTGCAACCCTAGCTCCAGCTTATCTGTCGATATGGACTGTTTCAACTCGTCGAAGGGGATCAACGAGATGACTCGTTCCAGTAAACGAGTCAGAGGTTGAGGGTCTTGTTGGATGGTCTGAAGGATCCTCTCGCCAGTGTCGAGCAGCCGCCACAGAATTAGTTTGGGGGACGAAGAGTCGAGGGATCGTGCTGCTCGTCTGAGTAGTTCTTCGTCCAAAGGAGTGGCGCTGGATTCGACGGACTCCAAATGAGAAAAGACTTGGGGAAAGAGAACATCTTGATTTTCAATGACAGCGTCCATCTTGACAGCAATCCTACGTGGGCTCTTCATAAGGGTGAGGGTAATAACATTTCTGTCGCATGAGAGGTGTCGACTTGTGGCGCCGCACTCACTCTGTTGTTCATTAGAGTCCTGGCCGTGTAAGGCAGTGATTGATGACGAGGAAATAGGCTTCACCTGAGAGACGCACGCACCCGGTCGTGATTGGGTCCGTCGTGAGAGGAGGCCCCGCCAAGATACTATCGCCCAAGGCCCAGATCGAACGTCTTAACAGAGATGATGTGACTGCTTGGTTTCGTGAAGTGATAGAGGCTATGTATGGGGATGCCCTTCCTTACACGAGGTCAGGTTGTCCTTGATTCTTTCTATTATCGTTTTGATGAACCTGGAGTGAAGTCACGTGTTGTTGAGAATCTGAAGCGCGGGGTAGATGAGTACTCCACACTAGAACTAGTTCGGAGTGTTTGTTCCTCAGGTGGAACTCCGCATTCCAAACCACGACTCCAACTTTCTGGATTGATTGAATGACCCATCACCACCATCTTTTTGTCACATTCCTCGACTAGACCTTGCTCTCGAACGTGTTTCCTCGATCTCTTTCTCTAGACCAAGCCGTGGGTAGTCCCTCAGCCTTTTAGGGATGGCGGATACGTCGGGAAACACTTTGATCTCGACTAGACCATCCGAGACTGGTCTCTCGGTCTCTCTCCATCCTCTCGTCCTCCTCACGATCTCCGACCATGTAACAAGGCATTCTGTAAGAAGACAATCTGGTCCAGTGGCCGGTGCGCTCCTTGGCCAGCAAAAGGGACGAGAGATCACTGTCGAACATGCCTTTTCTACTGTGTTAGTCCAGGACAATCAAGAGCACTGGACATTTGATGTCTCATGGATGGAGACAAGAATCCAGCAATGTACTTTCTTCCAATATATATTAATGTTCTTCAGATGGTCGCTGATATGTTCTAGATCGCGATGTCCACAAAGCTCCGGCCCTCGACTTTGTTGGCTGGTACACCCTGTGTCCTGAATCAGGCCCATCAGTCGCTCAAATCCCGCTACAAAAGCAAGCCATCACGTTCTACAGTGACAGCGCGATCCTACTTGTCTTACATCCCGAGGGGCTGAGCTCCACCAACTCCACAAATGGCCGTCTTCCTGTCTCTATATACGAGAGCATTCAAGAATTAGACTCGCACAATGATGATGCCTCAATGCAGGTCGATGGTCAGGAGTCGGCCTCCTCGCTGAAATTCCGTCCGCTGTCATACTCAGTCGACACTGATGAGACGGAAATGATTGCTATAGACTACGTTGCTAAAGGAGCCGGGAGCGCCGCCGCCATACCCGAATCTTCCTTACCCTCAGATCCAGCATCATCCATCAACCCTGATATTTCAAAGGGTAAATCCAGGATCACGTCCACATCTACGAATGGCACCAGCGTCGACCCATCAAGCGAGACGTCAGTGATACTTACGACCGAGGAACAAGACGCTATTGCCAACATTACCACTCGTCTTAATTCGGTCAAAATGCTCCAGTCACGCATCGCCCTTCTTCGCCAGTTCATTCAGTCACTGCCTCCCTCGTATCTTTCTGACCAAACCTGCTCAGCAAGCCCTGACCCCGCTCATCTTCCTCATCTCCGCAGCATCCAAGCTCTTCTGACACGTCTGTCTCTTTTGACCCCCAGCGACGACTCGACATCCTCGACCACGGTCTCCGCTCTAGCCACGGCAGCCCAATCCCAATCAAACGATGTATCTCTTTCTCACCTGCTCAATCTCCTGAGTCAAGACGTTCAAGCCCTTAGCGAACTTGGTCGAACATTCCACACCGTCTACCAAAGCCAAAACAGCAAGGCAGCCAAGAACCTGCGGGACTCGGCGGGAGGTCCTGGAGCTGGGGGCACAGTGGGGCCTACTGGGGGGAGTTCTCGAGGCGGGAATGCAAACGGCAAAGGAGGTTCAAGCGGAAGGGGTGGCTTTGGCGGCTTGGAAGACAGTGATGGCTCGTTTGGAGGGCTTGCTTCGATAGGAGCTGGACCATCTTCTTCGAGTGGCCGGGGCGCTGTCGGATCCAATTCGTTGCAGGTTTAGGTGACGAGGCTATGCAATTGGCACGGAGACGAGGGCGGCGAAACGCTCTAAAGGCTTTCTCTGCAGCGTGCATTCGTACCCTCACTTATTGCATGCGTGAAGTTGCAATAGAGCCTGTCGTGGCGGAGATATCTCTGGAGGTGCTTACGATTGAATGAAAGGATACGTGATCAGACGTCGTAGTTCTGATCTGGGGCTTTGGCAGGTCAATCCGGTCAACATGAAAGAGGTTTTAACGAAGGTTGACATGATACGGCGACAGCGAGGATGAAGCATAGCGTCGGCGTCACATGGCTTAGGGCATCAGACTAAAAGCAAGGAGCGCTTGGTAGACAAATCTATGACCTGTACAAATCTGATCATCTGTGTCGTGACATGAGATGAAATATTTAATCTCCACGGTCGAGAGTCCCAATCTCGTGGAATTACGGGGATCAGGAGTCTGGCCACTGATCTATGTAGTCGACGATGCCCTCGAGCAGACGAGGCATGTTGATGCGAACACTCTGGCGGATGTTGTAAGTGTATGCTTTGTCACGAAACTGGCCGCTATCGGGGCTGATGTCGCTGTCGCTGTTGGTGTGGCCAACCCGGCGGTGATGATCAAAGAGCTGTGGCAGCACCCCCATGCATCGATTCAACCGATTGCTACCGTCCTTGTTGTTTCTCTTTGCATTGTCGGTGTTTGGTCCCACGCAGAACTCCCGCAGCATAATATCAAAGGGCCCCTCGAGCCTCTGGAGACCAACGGCATACAACAACTTCCGCGCACCTGCCTGAGACACGGCGTACGCCAGCGAACACACTCCTTGTTTTTGGGGCATCACCAGCCGCGTGTGAGGTGGGTAGTCTTTGAGAGGCGAGATTGCTGTCTCGTCCCAGCTCTTGAGGTGCTTCACTTCCGGCACCGTCGGATCGTCTTCGTGTCGGACCAAGGTCGTGTCCTTAGGGATGTCCATGCCACAGTGTCCGAGCCAGAGCACGTCCCAATCGTCACCGTACGGACTAGTCTTGGGCCGCTTGAATGGTTGAATATCCTCCAGCCGCACTTCTCCCTGACTGGCAGTCCCGTGCTGTAACAGAAAGCTGCTCGATACAGCAAAGTCCTGCAACAGCCCTTTCAAACGGATGTCCCAATCGACATCATCCTCGAGAATAAGGGCTGTGGCCCAGCCCTCTTCAACAACTTTGGATATTGCCGTCATATGTGCCCGCCAGCTACCGATAATGCCGGGATTCAGGCCGTCCTTATGGTAGCTGGGTAGGGCTTTGGCTGATACAGAGTCGCCATGTGTGCCCTCAACGAACTGGATCGAAATGTTGGACACTGCGGCCGCGAGAACCAGACCATCTCGATGATCAGTCCGCTCCGGCAGATTGATGGCAAGAATTCTTTCAAACTGTTTCCATCGTTAGCGGACAAGATTGCCCTAAGTCAGGCTCCAGGATCATTCAACTCTTACCCCGAGAGTCGAGTTGAGTATGTGGTCCAGCGAGCCGCGAGTGTTAGCAAAGCTTGAGTGAATGGCATTGGGTAAGGTCGAGGGTAGCGACGAAGTCCCCGATGAATAGCCATGCAGTGTCCATACCACGAGCACCAGGGTCATTATCGAGAAGCTGAGCACGACACAACGAATGGGTATGAAGGCTAGTGAATCATGAGAAATGTACCACAGCATACTTCTATTCCCTCAAGCTCCTGAATTCAAAGACACACCCTAAGTTGCACTGGCCGATCTCGCTATCATGCCAACATTACTCGAGAAGTAGAAGTGAAAACGAGTCAGCACACTATGCATGAATGTCTGTGGTGACTGGAGTGATACGCGGGTACGCGTCAATACCCTGGACATGACTAGGATGCTCGCCTTTGTCTGTCACTTTTGCCTTTGTTCTCAGAAGACTCTTTGGCAGCTTTCAAAGACGCATGCAGCATCTTGCACTCAGATAGAAGTTTTTGAGTCAGCCAATCAATACGCCTCAGTCAAGGCCGAGAAGACCGAGAAAACGTCTTATGCGGTGTAGTGGTTAGTTCCCTCGGATTCTGCGGATGTGCCTTTCTCCTCCGCAGAGATAAGGTGCTAAATGCCACACAGGATTATAGTTAGGAGAGGGTATGGCATTTCCCTAGAACTCTGCTAGAATGAAGGAAAGCATAGTCTGATGGTAGGAACTGTAACGGCATTAGAGACTGGGTCCATGTACTAACCAGCAATATCGTTGTGGTTAATGTCCTTTATCGCAATCTGGACGCTCTCAGGATAGAAAAGAGGTGAAATTCAACATTTCTAACGTGTGGGAGGATGAGTTCCAACAGAGATTCTGCAGAGTCGGTCAGTTGGAACTTGATCAACAACGTGACCCAATGTCTCAGTTGACGACAGACGGCAGGAGCACGAAGAAAGCAAGCTCCTGCCTCAAAAACCTCAGCGCTACCTGCTAAAGCAAAAGGACATGACAAAAACAGAATGCACAGGTACAAGTGATGGGGATATGGGTTGGATTATGGAGTCTGTATATCTGTGTTCCAGCATGAATATAAACAGGATATTGTAATATAGCCGCAAGCCGAGGGTATCCAGGGCTGCACCCCTGAAGATCGCTGGCGGGACTAATCAATGCCGCCCACAGAGCCTTATTGGCCTCGGCCTGGCGGCTGAGGACAGCAGTTCTGGAGCCCACGAAACTGCACCATTAGCACAATCAGCACCATAATAAGCCCCCAACCAAGATCCTTGGACTCCCTCCTCGCCTCGGCCATTGGCCGCCTCCTCCAACATCCCCTGCCGCCCCTGCAACTGTCTAAACGCCCAAGGCTGTGTGGTTCAGCCGACATCCCACGGCTGACATCGATGTTGTTGAACAATCTACGCTTTTTGACTTCTCGACTTCTATCTTGACCGTCAGTCTTTCACCCCTTTCATTATTAGAGCAAATTACCAGTCTTCAACCCTGTTCTTCGTGACACCAGAACACAAAGACCACAATCGCCCGTCATCCATCCACAACTGACCCTTTCTCCCTTTCCACTTCGTGGCCTTTGCAGACCTTGCATACCCATTCCAACGTCCATCCACCACATACATTCCTCCTGGACAGCAACGGTAGCCACCACATTGATACTGGCTGTGTAAGATGACAGATACACAAACACCCATTCAAAGCTTTCAATCGGTAGATTCGACACCTACAGCTGGTCCTTCTGCTACACCCACACCCACCTCTACCTTGTCATTAAACAGTATGCAGGCTCAAGAGGAGGTCAACAACACCCTGCCTAATGGCTGGGTGTCCGTCTCGGAGCCGAACACACTCCCCACGTCCACAGTTCCTCCCGCTGCACCAACCAGTCTTCCTGCGGATGAGCCCAAACTTCCCACCTATGCTGCAGCTATTTCCGATGCTGTCGACCTAGCAGATGCTCCTCTTTTCTCAGAGTCACTTATCAGTGCAGAAGTGCTCGCGGACCTGCCAACGGGATACTCAATCCGGCCCTTGAGACGAAGTGACTATAATGGCGGTATGATCTCCCTTCCTCCACATCCGTTTGCCACCGATATGCCATCACTCGTTCCAGCTCAGATGACTTGACTGGATCAACAGGCTGACCAGTTGAACAGGATTCCTGCCGACTCTGCGCGTTCTCACCACTGTCGGTGAGCCCACTCTGGCTGAGTTCAACGCCCGTTACGATTTCATGTCGTCTCGCAACGACACATACTATATTTTGGTTGTGTGCGATGAATCATCAACAGTTGTGGGTACTGGCGCCGTAATCGTGGAGCGGAAATTCATCCACAATATGGGACTCGTTGGCCACATTGAAGATATTGCTGTGGCCAAAAATCAGCAAGGCAAGAAATTGGGACTGAGGATCATTCAAGCTCTCGATCACGTCGCAAAGGAGGTCGGTTGCTATAAGAGCATCCTCGACTGCAGCGAAGCCAACGAAGGCTTTTACGTCAAATGCGGCTTCAAAAGAGCTGGCCTAGAAATGGCTCATTACTACGAAGGCCCAAAGTCCAGTTACGAAAGATCATAAAGTGGGTGCTTTCCCATCAACGCCCAAGCATCATGTGCAGGCTACGGCTACTTGGGTCATCATGGAGGGCACAGGACTATTCCCTGTTCAGGCCCATATTCACGCACAATTCTAGATTTCGGGGTCACAATGTCGACGAGGTCAACTCGTTAAGAAGATGAAACATGCAGAACTAGACCCAACACCGGAGACGGATCTGGTTGCGACGGTCTAGCCTGCCTTGCCAGAGTGCATTTCCACCTTGATTGTGTCTTAGAGCACATGAAATACCCATAGAGCGTCTGGAGCACGGGCGCAGTTCACATTGAGAGCGACAATGAAACAAAAGTTTGAGTACAGGTTTTGATGATCCCCCCTGGTGTCTGCCAGCAATTGCGGTAATGAACAGTGGGATATCTACTCTCGGCCACTGACGGCGCTCACCATCACTTGAGACACGATCTGGCAGAAACTGGACACTTGACGTTGCCGAGGCTGAATTTAGGGATAATTGGAAAGGCCTAAATGGTTTCTTTTACAGCAGCCATGTGATGGGTATGGTGCCCCTTCACAGCATCTTCTCAGACATGTCGTCTCAAGTCTTGGCACTCAAGTCAGGAGAGGAATTCCACAGACAATGGAGTTGCGGTCACGCCACAAAGACCCGCGACACATCATTGTATTGTTGAATCCTGTTCTACGACATGATCCAACGCAAAGGTCACAGGTCGCATGCCTTGAGGGTCATGGCGGCTTTCCAATTAGGTCACGAGAGGGAAACATGTCAAAAATCCCCAGTCAACTGAACGAAATGCAGGACCATTCAGTCGCGTCTTCGCCTTCGGTAAAGGAAAGGATATGCACATGGCCTCTCAGTTTCCTTTTATGGAACTCTGATATCACTGCTAAAGCATCACAGACGAGGAACGATTCACGTCCAGAGAGTTGACCAAAGTTGATCCATCTACCAACCCTGAACAACAAGGATTCCATCATATATGGGCGCGGATCGCCCACCACAATCCCGCACTCACGGTAGCCAGCCACGCCAGTCTCACGGGCACTTAACGAAAGTCTGAGCATTGACGATGTGTCTCAACTGCCCCTTTTTGGGCAATACATTAGGATCCGGCGTGGTGTTCTCGAAGGAATAAGAAGAAACATTATTGGTCAGGCTATCTGCGTCAACTTTCATCGCAGGCAGACACTTTCAAAACTACCACGCCAGGAGAGCCAATAGTGTTGTCATACACCATCGCTTCTGGAAAAGTTGGAATGGTCGAGTGGATGGAGCAGACGGCCACCGCCGTACGCGGGATGTTGGTTGGAAACGCCGACCTTGGATTGCCCGTCAGCAGGTTCCAACTTGACATGCTTGTCCTATTCTGCCTAAGCCTGTGCTGGTGGTACTACGTCGAGGACGGGGTTGACCCATTATGGCTGATGGCCTGTACCGGCTGACCAACGACTTTTGGCAGAGGGGCATCTTACCTCTCGATCTACGGCAGAGACGCGTTTCACTACCTATTGATGGCACGCCAGTAACTCGATCGCAAAGGTCACGATGAGATGTGTTTGGCTAGCAAACGAATGTAATCATGGCAAGACTACCGTGACTGCGGAGCTTGAAGCGACACAAACGGCCGAGATGACAAACCAATTGTCGATTTCTACCCGAGTTTGTGCACAGAAGGCATTTCGGCCGGATTGCGGTCCTACACCAGGCCGTGTGCATAAAACTGGTGCTAATCGAGCCGCGCACGTTGACTGGGACGCCTTGAGTGGCTCAAAAGTGGTGTTCTGAAAAGTGAAACATGATGCCAGCGTTGTTGTCACGGATCTAGATCTACGGAGTAGAGAGTACGAGCAGTGCCAGATCTGTTTGGTCTATTCGTCATGCCGTTTTGAGGGTCACGTCGCGTTGCAATGATTATGCTGGATGGCGAAATGCTCACCATTTTATTAGGCACCGATGATGTGTCGGAACAGGTAGGAAGGTATGATTGCGAGGCGGGTACCGCCAAGACTACTTGTCCAATGAAAGCCTCAAGGGTGCCTGCGAAATGACTTTCTCCGAACGATGGTGGCCTGTTATTGGCCCCAGCCACTTTGAGCTGATTCAACGCTGAGGCGGATTTCCGCCCAACTTTGGTGTTAAACGAGTCACTACTACAATGTGGGAGTCACAGAGTGCATGCCCCCAAAAGTGGTGGTCAGAAATGGTTGCATTCTCGTTCAAAATGACGCTCAGCGGTAGATGTGGGACTTGTGCCCGGGATCAAATCAGATGCAAAGCTACTTGTGTACCAGACTGTCTCCTGGCACTTTGTCGACAGTCCGATTTCGCAGATGAGTGTTGTGGGTGCAGTGATACCATGGGTACGCGAAATATGACTATAATCCTTTCCAAGAGGCAGACCGGCGCAGTAAAGTGGCGGCATGTGTGGGTGTGTGTAATGTGAGTCACATATCGCACAACTGGCCGCCAGTGCCGCCGCAAGCTGGCGGCTGGGCTGATGAGATTTTTGCCCTTGACAGGCATGACAAGGCACCAGAGACAAACCTGGACCAGGCGGCCACGGCGGGCACCCTCCATGATTTCAATAATCATCGTCAAGCCCTGTAACCTCTCACACATCAATTATTACTCAGCGAATCACAACCGACATGATTCGCCAACAGTGGGGTGTACGAGTCAAAGGTCTCGGCGAATCATTTGAAGCCGCCCCCAGGCAAATACTCGCCGCCTGAAGGTCGACTTTGTTCTTGTGCATGGTACACTACACACTTGATCATCACGGGATGGGCAAGATTTTCTATTGCAACTATGCAATGTCATTTAATCCTCGAGGATGTCAAGGTGATCAACAAACTACTGCAATATCCACCTTGGCTCCCTAATATTATTGATGAGAGAATCCTCGCCACGGGCGTGGGTTGAAAGTGGTGTGCTGCGACAAGGACATCACCAGAGTGCCAGAGTCACCCGCATGGGCAGCAAAAGTCAAAATTAGAACTTGAAAACTCACAAATGGCGTAGAAGGGCCAGGCAAATTGGTCGCCAAAAGTATGATGAATCGACTCTGCCTGTTGAAGGTAGTCTTGAAGCAATACAACACAGTAGTTTGCTATATTGGTCATAAGTCATAATTCAGATGGGCCCGAGTCATGCCTTGTGACTGTGGATGAAACTCGAGTCTGAGGCTTCGAAAGCTGTGCCTGCCTGTTGGGGGGCGAAAAAAGGTTGGAGGATGCGCCTGGTGTCGAGACTTTCTTCTTGGTATGGGAGAAGGTGACGATGACCAACTCCAACTGGCAACTGGCAACTGGTGTGGCTGTAGCAGCCGGGAATGGGTGTAGACAGGCACTCACCCACTCCACAGAGGAGGCGATTGGGGGCACTGGAAAGACTTGATTGGGGTCAGTGGTGGTCGGGGCTTTTTGGGCTCCGCGTAGCCTCAAGGCTCCCTCGGATCAGCTTTGAGAAAGCGACGAAAGCAACGAAAGCCATAGGACCAACAGGGAAAGAGGGAGCCACAGGGAAGGGCCACAGAAACCACTGAACCATAGCCGGCCGCACCTGCCCACGGCGCCCAGGCCCTTTGCCTGCCGTGCCTGCCCAGCGCCAGGTTTGGTCCATGGAATTTTGAGTCATCCGCCTGCTGATCCGAGCCCTTCGAACCTTTCAGGCTTCAGCGTGGCGATTGCCACCTCACCCAGCTTCTTTCCATATAGACTGTTGCCGCTACTCACCCACCCTGTCCCCTTCTCCTCTCCAACAGCGACACAATGATCCAAATTACAGTCTGCAGCACATGCTGCGATGCCTGGGAATCGCCAGTCATCTGAATCCATTCGCCAGACAACACACAGTACTCAGCATTCAAGCCTCAGTCTCATCGTTGTCCCTTCCACTCGATCCCATCTCCCATCTGTAAGCCTCCGCTCCTCAAGCCTGCGCAAGTCAAGTCGGCCGAACCAAGACTACTACGACTCTGCTTGGGCCTTGTTCGACTCATCAAATCTATGAATCAAGATGCATCATACTGACTCAAACTCGTCATGTCTTCTTCCAGACTGTCTCCCTCTAGTTACTGATATACTGCGCCATCTTCACTCTTCTCGACGATCAGCCCGTTATTCACTCCATCTCCACTCCTTCGGCAAATTACTTGCCAGTATCCGAGCCTCAGCATCACCCCCGATTGCTTCATTCACCACCAAACAAACACGTATACTCGTGGACGTCACTCCTGTTTTTTCCCCAGGGTGACAACAGTACACTTTTCACCCAGTTAATAACTCAATTACGCCTGTGAGAGTGTCTGCGATAGCCAACGCTTCCAGCACTTCGCCCACCACAGCTTTCTACTCATCCTCAAGACAATCAAATCATAGCAATCTCAGTATGATTTATTGGTCAGACATATACAACATAAAGGATCTATCTGTCAGTCGTGGCCCTTCGCCAAAGTCCAACGCTTTATTGGTTGCATTTCACCCAGATCACCTTGAACTGGACGCGCGCATATCTTTTGACACATCGGGGTAGGATTTGTTTGGTACATTTCCTTCTCCGTCGTCAAAATTACTGCTGCCACTCTTTGTTCAAGCTCATCGGAATTTCACAATCACCAATACTGCAGACTCTTGCGTCGACCACGCTGACAATAGATCCTGCAACCTTCCTAGTACTAGGCTCCCGAGCCCTGACTTGATATGCCGCTAACGAGTGTACAGCATCCTCATCCTCATTTCTCTATATCCTCACCACCACTCCCTTCGCAAGCAGGACCCTCTTAGCCCTGCTGATTTTCCCGCTCTTCAGCGATACTGAAGATCAGAACAATCACCACCAGCCATGGGCATGAGTGGTGGAAGTAACAATGACTTGTCAAGAAACCCGTACGAAGCATCTCGAAGTTACGGCCAAGACAAGATAGTCGACTGGCTAGCATTTGGAAGTCGGCTTGATCAAGTCAACTGTCAGTCCTTGAGTGCCTTTAACCTAGAAAAGACTGAGGGATTTCCGTGGCCCGAAGCCGGCTTCACCAAGGACGCGCGCGATGGAGACCTTCAAAGTACCATCTCGGTCGACGATACGCTTAGCCATAGTGGCTCAAGTCATGAATCCCTAATCTCGGACTCGTCTTCTCAAACAAGCTCTAGCAGCGCGACCGACCCATTCGATTTCTTGGACGACTCGGATCGAGATTCACACGTATCTTCCAAGGCCAACTGTACTGAACAGGATTTCTTCCGCCAAACCTCTGGGTTCCTCGGTGCGTCCACTTCCTCTACCCGACAAGATCGATCGCGCACTCGTCAAGTTAGAGTGGACGGCCTGTCAACCTGTGCGGAATCTTCCGTCGAACAAAGCACCAGCCAAATCTCGTCTGTTTGCCAACCAAACAAACATGCGCCTCCGACTATAATTCGCAACAATAATGCCCGACGCTCGTCTTGTTCGAGCAAGACCAAGGGCCCGCCTTGTAAACTCAAGAGAGACACAGAATGTACCGATCAATTTGTGTCGCTGCTTATCGTTTTCGCAACGCGCCTCATCACAGCTATCTGGCCTCTCTCGGCTTGCCCTCCCATGATGACGGCATGTTTCAACGGAGCCGGCGTACTTCCTCTACAGGTTTTCATCCAAGAGACGCTGAAGCGGTCTAGAACAAGCTACTCAACCTTGCAAGTCGCCCTTTACTATCTCGTCTTGCTCAGGGCCCGCCTTCCCGCCAAGGACTTCTGTCATGAACAAGGAACTGGATCTCCGGACCGGAAACAATGTCGTGCTATGCAATGTGGACGCCGCATGTTTCTTTCAGCGCTCATGCTGGCCTCCAAGTACCTCCAGGATCGTAACTACTCCGCCAGGGCCTGGAGTAAGATATCTGGTCTTCGAAGTACCGAGATCAATGAAAACGAGCGAGAGTATCTATCCTTGATCGACTACAGCCTCCACGTCCCTAAGGATGTCTTTGATAACTGGAACAAGATCGTCATTGCTCTCAGCAAGCTTTCCAAGGAAGAACCACAATGCAGGATGGATTTATCCGACTCCGGCTCCCCTTTCGATCATTCTGATGACGGCGCCTACAACACTCCATCTGAGGCGGGTTCCCATGACACCTTTTCCGACGATTGGTGGTCTGATATCATCTCCAAGCTCAATGTTGAGACAATCAAGGATGCATCTATCACAGAAGCCTTCCTTGCTGCTCAGGTACCCCTGTATAGAGGCTCAAGCTCCCCATCTCTAACACCAGGATTGGGACGATGTGAACCTTCCTCGGCCGGACTGGATCTTCTTCCAGCTTTCATGGACATTAACTTTAGTGAAAGCTTGAAGTCCCGCCATGACCAACCCCGGTCGAGCGCTTTGCAGACTCCGACTCAAATGAGCCCTGTACGAGCCATGACCATACCAATGCAGCCCCGGCTTCGTAACTTGCCCACTCCGCAATCGACACCAAAGCTTGCAGATGGTCATCATGATCATGTCGCATCTAATTCACGTCTTTTGCGATGCTCGGCTTCACTGGACGCATTACGAAACATGCGAAGGCAGTGCTTGGTGAATGCGAATCTGGATCGCTGCCCCCCTCCAAGACGCCCCGTGTGCGAACCCTCTACCTCGAGTACTCTGAACCTTCCTGCAGAGATTGTTTCAAAGTCTCCAGATAGAGCGGCCACACCTGGCATATCCTCACCGGCCTCGGCCACCTCCGACTCCACCGCCTCCTTCACATCAAGATCTCGGTCATCGTCAATTTCCTCAGTGTCTTCATGTTCATCGTTCGCATCCAGCTTTGCTCGACCGCGGTTCAGTGATGGTTGCTCGTCTAGTTCTCCCTTGGCTGCAAGATCTTGCCTGCCCAATAGAGGTACTACCAGTCTCTCCAAGGTCCGTCTCCGTCTCCCTGACAATTCAGGGATTCGGTTCATGGACGAGGGCTACGGCAGCGGAGAAGATCCGCCAAGCAAGCTCTTCAAACAGGCGGTCATCTCATCGGAGGAGAAAGCGGTCGAGATCTTAATGTCCCTTTCGGTGCAAAGTGAGAACCAGAGCCAGTGTGTAACACCTACTCCACACAACTATGATGTCAAGGATGAAGAAGCCATAATAAGTGCTCAAAGAGGACACAAAAGAAGCCTATCCAAGGTCGAGCCACAAGTACAATCTCATGTGCGGGCTTTTGGATGGGACCATGCTATACGAGGTGATGTTCTTGAGGACTCTTCGCGTGCCTCGAATGCGACACCCAAGCAGTGGCAATGCCCAAGCAAGGCATGGGCTGAGCCGAAGAGAGCGCTGCCAAACTCTTCGGACAGCAAACGAGTGGCATACTGTGCCCTTCAACAATACGCATCTGCTCCTGACCTTGCCTCACAATACCTGCAAGATATACGAATCTCGGCGACTTCCTGATGACTTTGAGTCTCGGTGGCGCTGGACTTGGATGGATTGAGCGGGTGTCAGAAATCAATGTGGGTTTGCAGTGCCCAGCAGCATCAGCAACCATATCATCCTTGATTGTCCTAGTGACACGTTAAAACATAAACAGCTCTGCGGCCGTCATCAGCGCCGGTTACGTGCTTTGACGAGCTGTCAAGCCCTCCCTCAACCTCAACCACGACCTCCTTGCATTGCATCCAATGCATCCTTTGTACGCTATACCTTGCCCTCTTAATACATTTGTTTTGATCAATGAGTTCCTTCTTTCTGTAGTCTACTCGTTGTGTGGTCTCCTCGTCGTGCTTCAACTAAGGCGCTGAGCCTAAGTAGACAGCTATAGGCTACTAACCGATACACTTTCTGAACTCGGACTCACAGAACAGGTAAATGGTCAAGATTTTCATCCTGGTTCTCGTTGCCACGAAGTCACGCGCGGCGGCTGTCTGACAATTCCCGTCAAGGGTCATTTGTTTCCCCAGAACCGAGGTGGAGCAGGCCAACGAACAATCAATCCTGATGCAGAAAGGTGATTCTATCTGGAGCATTGTCGGGCAACGAGCAGACGGCTCGAAACTCGCCAAAGATATCCTGTCTGGTTCTGACAAAATCGGAGAAATCCGAGATATTGATGGCGTGCAGGATGCGTGACATCTTGGGGAGACCCGGTAGGCGGATGAGGCCATCATTGATAAAGAGTCGCACGAAATAGTCTTTGCTGGTCGACGATGCTGGGGCGAAGGCGTCACAGACAATGCGTTCGAGGATCAAACGTCCTCCCATGGGAACGACGTCGCTGGTCCTCCAATTCCGATCAGACTTGATCTTGTCCGACGGCAGGGTCTGCTGCATGAGACGCTCGTCGAATACCTTCAAGGTGGCCAGCACGGGGACGATGTCTCCATCATGAACAAAGCTCATGTATGGGTGTTGGGCGCGGCCATCGAGCATCAAAGTGCGCGTGGCGTTCAACCACAGCCAACCCATGGCCCCGGCATAGGGATTGCCTGGACCGGCACGGTAGAAATGTAGCAAGTCGCGCGCATACTCAAAGTCAAGCCATTCGTCCTGGCTGAAGACGGCGCACCACGGGCTGGACCCGCGCACTAGGATCTCAAAGCCGCACATTTCCATCATGCTGTAGACGTCGACGGGTTCTAGCTCGATCCCGGTCGCTAGGCTAGCCAGTCGCTTGATGATGGGTCGTGTGAAAACCGTCTGCCATTCGTCAAGTTTCCGATACCCGGCGTCGTGGCCATTGTATCCGTCGCGGTCGTATTTGTAGCACGTGTCTCCGGGCGTCAGGGTGTCGCCGCCTCGCTTGGGGTCTTCGGGGATCACTTGAAGTTCGGCGGTGCCGTCAGACAGCCAGTTGGCGCCGAAGAAGCCCGATGCAAATTGCTTGGCCGTCTCGATGTCTCGTGGGGAGCCGCAAGACCAGAAACGGGTGCTTTGGTGGCGTGGTAGGAGGTGTTGATACCTGGCCCTCAGGGTTTTGCCGGTATTGCTGGCTTGCAGTGTTCCTGCATATGGACCGGTCTGAGTGAGGTTCTCAAAGGCCGGGTCGGTTGGGTCGGTGAAATAGGTCCAAGACTTGACAAAGGACAAAGATCCCTCGAGCGAAACGGCCGGGTCGTCCAGACGTTTCAATAGTTCGAGATGACGAGCGCCTGCAGTTTTGGTCGGATAGCGTTCAGCATGTCGCGACAACATATGGACCTGGTCGACGGAGCAACCTTTCGGCAATGGCGCATGGTCGTAGGCGACGTTGTCCGACTTGGGAATCCATGGGCCATTACCCCCTAGATGGTAGAACAGTTTCCAGTCCTGGGGGTCCACGGCAGACCTGCACAATCCCAGGGCACGCGCCGTACCAGAACAGACATGGTGGGTTACACTTTTGAAAATGGACAATAGAACCAGTGTCGAGAAGGCCAGAATGATGATCAACGGTAGTTTACGACGGATCCGTCGCATTGGCCGCATACTTGGTGAGTGATCTCGCACGTGGACGTGTTTTTCGCTGGTAAAGGGGTCCATTGCGAAACGAGGGTTTGATGTTAGGGGCGTGGGGGACGATTGAAACACATGGTGGCGAGTATTATTATTGACCAAGAAGGATTCTAGAGGAGAGCAGTGATGAGGTTTGTGTTGGGCGCGACGACGTGTTTTTCCTCGAGTTTGTGTCACCGCTAAAAGGGAAGGCGTCCACGGCGTAAGTAAGTAGTAAGATCACCACCAACCAATGTTGAAGGTGCGAAGCTTACACGGCTTGGTATGGGGGATTTAATTGAGTTTTTTCCACCCTTTTTGGTGGTTGTGTGTCAGGGACGGGTTGACTCTCTTGTCACTAATCACGAATTGTCTGGGCGTTTGGCAGATGAACTGGTTGGTTCTATGAAAGTCGTGTCAAGATTCCATGAGCCACGTGTTTAGATGTCATTCAGGACATAAAAGTGGGTTACAATCATTACTTGAATCAGATACCTATTGTACTGGCGTGCACGATCACCGATGAAAGGTTTCCATATGACAGATATGACATGATTCTAGGTGAGTCCAAAAGTACCAAAGGGAGCCTGAGTGCGGGCCAAGAGAACAATTAGGCTGTCCCTATGGAAGAGTACCTTAGGTACTCTAGGCTTGGGCATAGGGGAGGTAGGTACGTAAAGGATGAGGTAGGTGTGCCCATGACACATACTTGACGATTAATTGATTTACTCGTGGGCTACGATAAGAAGACACCTACCCTTAGGTTCCTACTTATCGGTAACTACATGCTGTATCAGTGATAGACATTTCTTCAACGGCTTCTTATCTCTGAAGCCGATAACAATCAACAATCGGCTAGTTGGAGCCGATGTTTAATGGGTCTTTCAAGGGCGGAGAGGAATTACAAGGGCGTTCTGACCACTAACATTGATCCCCTGGGTGCCTAGTCTGAAGACTCGGGGCCTTTTATACCGGAAAGTTGACCGGGGAATTGAACGACGGTGGGTGCGGGGAAATCTTTACGATGGATTCTGGCGATACTACTTTATGTGGTCACTGTTGAATATTTTCCAAGATGATCATTCTGAATACCTGACACCAGCTCTAAGGCAGACGAGTTAACTGATCGCAGGATCACTTCAAGAGCAAGCATAAACGCATTGAACACAATGGGCTCCCTCTCCACCATCACTACAGCCCCTGGGCAGCCGCACAGCGTGCCCGTGCCTCCAGCAGGCGTCTGGGCTCCTGCGGTCACCTTCTTCGACCCTGAAACAGACAAGTTGCGGCCGACCGAACAATCACAGTATTATTCCTACCTGTCTCGCTCTGGCCTCACAGGCCTCGTTGTGCTGGGAACCAACTCAGAGACCTTCCTACTTACGCGAGAGGAGCGGTCCACCTTGTTGAAGATCGCAAGACAATCCGTTCCTGAAGGCTACCCCATCATGGCAGGAGTAGGAGGACACTCGACGGCGCAGGCAATCGAGTTCATCCAAGATGCATATGAGGCCGGGGCGAACTATGCCCTGTTGCTCCCTGCTGCCTACTTTGGCAAACAGACCACTCCTGCGGTCATCAACAACTTCTTCAACACGGTGGCAAAGGCGTCGCCTCTTCCCATTGTTCTGTACAACTTCCCTGCGGTGACCAACGGCATCGATCTTGACTCAGATACCATCACAGCCTTGGCTCAGGCCCATCCCAACATTGTCGGGGTCAAGCTGACCTGTGGATCGGTGGGTAAAATCACCAGGCTTGCTGCTACCTTCACCCCTCAACGGTTCACGGTCTTTGGTGGACAGTCTGACTTCCTGATCGGAGGTCTGGCAGCTGGAAGTGGAGGATGTATTGCTGCATTTGGCAACGTCTTTCCCAAGACCCTGGTCAAGATATACGACCTGTATACGCAGGGCAAGCATGATCAGGCCCTTGCCTTGCATCGTATTGCCGCCCATGCAGAGAGCCCTACAAAAGCAGGGATTGCCACGACCAAGTATGCTGCAAGTCAATTTACCGCAAAGGCCGCAGGGATTCAAGGAGATCTAGAGGCTCTGTTGAGACCCCGGCAACCATATGAGGAGCCCACTGCGGCTGTCAAGAAGAAGATCTTGGAGGTTATGGCCCCGATGGATGAAATTGAAAAGACTCTATGAAGAATAAAAATGGCATCGGAATTTGATCAGCGCCTACTAGTTCGTGTCAAAAGAGTATGATAAATGGCGCTGTCTTCTGGTTTATAGACTGTAAGGCATGAAGAATGCTGGCGTCCAGAGTACGGGCTCGGACTACCAAGGGCCTTGAAAGCCAAGCTCATACACCAGGGCTTGTTGGGTGTGGGGATTGCTTAACAGCTGTCACTGTCAGAGCCTATTGTTTAACTATGAGTTTTCTTTGTAGGTACTACGGAGTAGTACGAATACTTGAGCACCGTGGCACCCCCACCTAGGTACATTTGTAGCTTAGTATATATTATGCCAACACCAACTCAGCTCCCGAGGTTCATGGCTTTTTCTCTGATGGGCATCACGAAGCTCCAGATCTGGTATCATCGAGCGTCACCGAAACTTGGAAATGGGCCCGAGGGGCCCAAGCTACTCCCCACCAAGCAAGCCATCGCTCGGCATCGCCCGAGCTGCACATGGATCATTAACCAATTACTATCTAGCCGTTAGATACTACTGACGCCCTAGCAATCCTCTTCATGCAGTATCCGTACTCTTGCCTCGTTTAGACACTTACATACGTACACCCAGCCACCCTTATCCAACTTGCCATGCCACCACCACCAATGCCTCCTTGTCGGTGTGGCTTCAAAGTTCTTCCTTGAATCCCTATCAAAGCTCAAGTCTCCAAGCCAGCTACCTTCGCAAGTTAGTCTTCTGTGGCGTACACCCTCGCCAGAACTAGTGTCGGTAGGTCCATCTACCACCTGTGCGTATACGTGTGCTATGCGGGGGTAGAGATAGCAGTTACGATAACCTACCCAGTCTTCACATCATCGCACCTTCCTTGATTCACATCTTCCGGATCTGGCGGACACGTCGCTGTTTCTTCGCTGTTCCTTAAGTCGTTCGTTTCCTCACCAAGACTCTCCATTCTTTCTCTATCGCTTCCTGTCCCTCTGCCATCTTATCCCCCGTCCTTCCTTCGTGTTGTCAATGAGAACCCTCCGCTTGACCCTCCTCAATCGACTCGATCCGTGTCACCCCAAGCTTCACACAAGAACAGCTCTCCCAATATCCAACTAGTCATTTGCAGATTGAACTTTCAACTGCAGCCTTTGTGGTGTTCAACCATGCCTGCAACCACGTAACTCAACCTCTCTTTGACACCTCGAATTGGTGCGAACAAAACCCCCCCACGCCTGGGCCATCCAGTCAAGGACTAGGTTATTTGAGACCTTGTCCAACCTCTGCTCGCGAGAACTTCCAATTGTTGGCCAATATGGCGTCGATCAGCTTCCACAGAACTTCTGCACACCTGATTGTTTGGTCTGCGCTTATGCTCTTTCTGGCATCTGTCTTCCCTGTGGTCTCCGCGGTCGAGAATACGAGGTGGATCAAATACACTGGCAATGATGGCACTGTTTGGCTGGACGACAACCGAAGACCCTCTCTTTACACGCAGAATTTTGGTGATTGTCAAGGTGATTCCTTGATCAATGTCACCCGCTTCGATGCCGCATACTACAAAGACAACATGACCGTACTCTTTCATTTGGAAGGAGACACGGCCTTGGCGGATGAGAGCCTCATGCGTAAGTTGAGATCAAGTGCTGACACTTGGATGCCTGCTGATCGTGATCCCACTTTATTAGTCTATATTGGCGTCTTTGCCTATGGAGAATCACGCTTCAACCTTACTTTCAATCCCTGCAACGCCAACATAAACAGCTTGTGTCCCATGAACTCATCCGTCCCCATAGTGGCAAACGGCATCATCCCAGTCGCTCCAAGCGATGTTGCGGGTATCCCCCCTATAGCCCTCACCATCCCCGACTTTGAAGGACAAGCAATCCTGCGCATCTTTGCAAATTCCACCGAATCTCAGATTGGTTGCTTTTCAGCTGTTGTTACCAATGGCGCGACCTTTGCCCATCCTCAGGCAGTCTCAGCTGTTCTCGGCGTTTTTACCGTCATTGCCCTGATCTCCTCCATTGTCGTCACTGTTTACGGCCAGACAGTCACCGAAACCCGCAAGCACTATGCTCACTCAATATCAATGTTTGTCGTCTTTTCCGTCTATCAGCATATCTTCTTCACAGGGGGCTTGTCCATGAACTGGCCCAGTGTTTTGGTCTCTTTCTGGAGCAACTATGCATGGTCGGCTGGTATAATATACAGTCAGAAGATGCAGAATTCCATCAATCAATTCATTGACGGCAATCGAGGCAACATTTCAATGGTCGGCGCGGCCCAAACCGGTGAGAATGCAGTTGATCTTGGTGGCGGCTACCAGATCTCTCAGATCTATAAGAGGATGCCTCTCCGTTTCCCCTCGCATCGGTCTGCCTCCGCCTGGAGCCCAGCCTCAAATGCCATGACCCATTTGTCCCGAAGAGAAGAATCGAACACCACGTTGACCTTCTCCTGGTACGGGAAACCTGTCAGTCCCGGTCTTCCTTTGCCTGGAAACTACTCAGGCTTTGCTGGCACTCTTGCACAGATCAATATTCCCGCCTCAAACGCATTCCTGACCGGCCTTCTGTGGTTTTTGATCCTCGTCGCCTGTCTTATGGCAGCATTGGCGCTATTGAAATGGTCAATCGAACTCCTTGCCGCTTTGCGGTGGATCAAGACACCACGGCTCGCCTTATTCCGGAAACATTGGCTATTGTTCATTGGAGTTGCGGTTCTCAGAACATGTTACATCGCCTTCTTCGCCATGATGTTCTTGACCATGTTTCAATTCACCCTCGGCGGTGCAAAGGGAGTCAAGAGCGTTGCGGCTGTTGTATTTGTCATCTTCCTGGTAGGCATGCTGACCGCATGCGGCCTTGCGCTTTGGTACCGAACAAGATCACCTCCTCTTCAGACAGCATCCCCTGACGAAAAGGCAAACGAGTTTGCGACAGAGTCCGAAATGGCCTGGCCAACATCAAGCTCTCACACATCATGCCCAGAAGGTGAGACTCAAGAACAGCAAAACAAACCTCTCGCACGGTTCCAGCGGTTATTACCCTCTCTCGGCGCAGGTCTGGTCCATGTCCACGATGACGAGAGATACATTCTTCGGTTTGGCTGGCTGGCATCAAGATTCCGTCGGAGTAAATGGTGGTTCTTCTCCGCCTGGCTCATCTACGAATTGGTTAGAGCAGCACTCTATGGCGGCGCAGCAGGGCATCCGCTCGTCCAGGTCTTTGGGCTTTTGGCCTGGGAGATCTTGGCTTTGATTGCCATTGTCATGATGAGGCCTTTTCAGAGTAATCGGCTCAACCTGGTCATGGTATATGTCTTGGGTTTCAGCAAGGTGGTTACTGTGGCGCTGTCCTGCGCATTCGATCCACGATTTGGCCTTCAGCGGATCGTGACGACCGTCATTGGTATCATCATCATTGTGATCCAAGGAACGCTGACGATTTGTCTAATGCTCGCGATTGTTCTTGGAGCTATCGGCAGTTACATGTCCATCACGCGGTACCATGAAACAATCAAGCCACGGTCCTGGTTGCCATACCGAACACGCTATTTTGCGCATGTGCAGCGGAAGGCGACCGACTTGCCAAAACCACCCCCTCCTCCACCGCCTCCGGAGCCAGAACATCCCAAGGAGCCGTACTTTTTGGTTTCGGCAGTTCGAAGAGAACCCAAGATTGAAGATGAGACACCAGATCCAGAAGAGAAATCAGAAGAGAAACAGGAGGCAGAGGGACCATCGGCCAACCCACAGATTGGGCCGAGTGATCCCTTCTACACTTCCCGAAGCCAATCTATGCGTTCTCGTGCCAGCACCTCATCTCTACCATACGGGGCACGGCTGCATCGGACAAGTTGGAGTATACGCGATTTCCAGCAGACCGACCTGAGCACCGACGCGGGCGCCGGACGCACACCTATGAGTCGAGACGGCATGCAGGATGGAGTCGCCCGACAAAATACGTCAAGTTCACGCGGAGGCCCATCCACTGGGGATGAAGACATAATGATTACAGCGCTTCCTCAGGGGTTAGACCGTACTAGAAGTTCGAGGGGCCACCGCCGGAGCGCCTCGTATATCGCCAAACGTGATAGCTACACGGTCGATGAAGAGACAGAGAATGATCCAGACATGATTCAGCCGGCATGAATGATATGGAACCATGAAACCGAATCACGACAGAGGTCCTGACTTACCCATCGCCACTGATTTATGCTTTCCTTCCGCATCTTATACCCAATACATGAGTTCGGCGAACAATGTGATATGAGCATTTCACTCGGAGTCAAGGAGTACATTACCTATCAAGGCCACAACAGCTGAGCTTGGATGGAATACTATGAGCATCCAATCCTTGTCACACTAAGTGCTGGAATCATATGTAGAAGCATCACTTGATAGCAGCAATGCTAAGTAATATTTCAATAAACATGGACATGATGCATTTGGAAGAGACCTTCGCCCAGCTTAGGCTCGTGTCTGGGTTGGGAAAGCTACTCGCAACTCACTCCGTTTCGGCGGAGGGTGACGCCGCCATATGCTCACCCTCGACTCGCAACAAGCCGGGGCAGGCTTCACCTGTATCTTCACTAAGAGTGGTGGGCGAGGGGTCCTGAGTTCCGATCCCTTAGCCTGACTCCTAGCCCTACCCTTAAAGTAGAGATACTTTATAAATCTCTTCATGAGAGCCTGAGCAACTGATTTATTTTAGGTCACTGAAATGGACAGAAGTTCAAGACTCGCACATTTCTCAACGATAGATCGTGATCGAGCTTGATAGGCATGTTTTGGCTATCGACGCTTCAGGGATTACCACGAGCGGTGCTTCTTCCCACAGCGTCCCCACATCACCGACATGCAAAGTATTCGTCGTCGACCCCGTACCCCAGATCTCTCCGCGCTTTTCCGTCAGAGGGCAGAAGTAAGAGGGGCTCCACAGCTTGAAGTACCCAATTGCTCGGGAAAATTGTCCAGTTGCCCCGAGAGCTAATCAGCATTCTCCCTCGGGACAGTTGCGATGTATGTCGAGACGAAAGTTGAACCTCACTGGATTCAGGTGGTGGGGTAATAATTGATCTACAATGCTTTCAGAGACCTCGTTTGTGAGGGGTGTTTGGTCCTCTTTAGCACGGTGGACCAGTGTCTGTTACTCTGGTCCGTGTCTTGGGTCGGACATCGAGGGACGAGGGGGACCTAGCCCGAGCCAACCGCTACGGATTGTCTTTTCGGTGATTCACATCCTCGCCCCGAAAAAACGTTGCGGCATTCACTTAGCAAACATTTTATTTTATAATGGTCCTATGCTGAGTGTCGGGAAGGGGGGAGAGAAAAAAATGCTCATACAGACCAACGGTCTCTTGTGCTCGAAGAATGTGCTCTATCTTCAAGTTCGAGACAAATTGGTTCGAGTTCACAAGTTAACTTTACTACATATTATCAAGATTTGGCTGCAACTAAGTAGGCCGGGCGCCAAAGCTACTGCTATTTGCTGCGAATGAAGGATACTGCAGCGGAGGCATGAGAGATTAGGTGTTGATCTGAGCGAAGAATCGAGAAAGCCTTGAAACAAGAGAGTGAGAGAGAACTTCAACAAGATGCCATCTTTCATCCCTCTCCGACTTTTTGGCGGTCGTGAACTACTGGCGCTTTTCCTTCTGACGGTATGCTTCCATGGTTCCCCATGGGTTATGCAAGAAGTTCTTGAGGAGAAACTGATTGGAATTGTGGAGCGCAGACTATACTTGTACCTGTGGCATATTGCGCCTACAATCTATGGTGGCATCCTCTGGCAAGGTTTCCAGGGCCGAAAAGGGCAGCCGTTTCACCGTTCTGGGCCATGTGGCACTGGCTGAGCGGTGAGAACTTGAACAAGCTCTGCGATCTCCATAATCAGTACGGATCGGTGGTTCGCATTGCGCCTAACCAGCTCTCATTCTGCAGTAGCAGCAGTTGGAAGGATGTCCATGGACGCAAGCCGGGGCGAAAGCCATTCCTCAAGGGACCATGGTACCGACCGTTTCCACAAGATCACTATAACATTGTCTCTGTGTCAAATCCGGGACACCATGCTCTGATGCGCAAAAGCCTCAGTCACGGTTTCTCGTCGGGTGCGCTGATAGCCCAGGAGGGCAGGTTACAATACTTCATCAACAAGTTTGTCGATCAAATTGACATACGATTCACGCATACTGCTGGCGATATGACAAAGTGGTACAATTATGTCACTTTCGATGCGATTGGAGAGCTAGCCTTCGGTGAAGCCTTCGGATGTGTTGAGTCTGGTAGGTGTCCGAGAAGCCATATTAGATAGACCACGGCCAGGCTTTACTAATGATGAACCAAATAAAGGTGAACCACACTTCTGGATCGATATCCTTTTCGATGGCATCAAAAATTTCAATTTGCTAAGGTCTTTTGAATATTTCCCTCTCCTCAAGTCGGGAGTGCTCCTGTTGCTTAGGTGGGGTCTTGTTCCAAGTTCTGTCACCGAGCCTCGACGAAAGCAAACGATCTACGCTCGTGAGAAATTAATCAAGTGAGTCTCATCCCTATATTCCGAAATCATCGATGACATGACTCTTTCGTGCTGACCTGGTCTCCTAGACGGCTGACGAGAACATCCCCGTCAACGGACTTCCTGGAGAAACCCATTGCCGACATGGAAAAGAACGGAACATCGTTTGACGACCTCCTATCCCAAGCAACACTGTTGACTGTTGCCGGCAGTGAGACCACGGCAACAGCATTGGCGGGAATTACCTATTTCCTTTGCAAAGACCTATTGGCATATGAAAAGCTTCGAGACGAGATTCGAAGGGCATTCTTAGACTATGAAGGAATTACTGGTCTGGCCACCGAAAAACTTCCTTATCTGCGAGCAGTCATCTTGGAAGGTTTGAGGATGTTTCCTCCGCTCGCGGCGGGACTTCCACGCATCAGCCCAGGAGAGACGATTGATGGCCAGTACATCCCAGAAGGTGCCATTGTGTCAGTAAACACGTGGGCTGCAGGCCATGTTGACGCCAACTTCCGCGAACCCTTCAAGTTCAATCCGGAGCGGTGGCTGGATCCAGACTGTAAGGATAACTTGGCCGCCAGTCAGCCATTCTTGTTGGGAAGTAGGGTTTGTTTGGGACGACAGTAAGTTGATTCGAAGGACGATGTTCATTGGTTAGTACTTCTGCTAATCGAATCGCTCTTAATAGCCTCGCCATGTTGGAGATGAGGCTCATTCTCTCCAAATTGCTATGGAAGTTTGACATGACCCTTATGGACAAGGACCTTGATTGGGGCAGGGCAAATAAGAACTATGTCTTCTGGGATAAGCCTGAGCTCCCGATCCAATTTCGCAGACGCGAAGGCATGTGAAAGAATGACAGACATCTCGGATACATAAAATCACTATAGTTCCGGCTTGACATCACGTCACTTGGAGCTTCAGAAGCACTGAGATTTTTGACTATGATGAATTTCGCCCCCATCGCTACGCCATACGCGACACGGAGTTCTTATGGGTGGTGCCGTGCTAGGCCAGCAGCAGTTCTAACGAGGCTTAATCACCACCACTTTAGTTGTACTACGTACGGAATGGGGGCCAAAGTCTGTGGGACACTTTATGTAACTGTATTATTCAATGACGCCTTAGTTAATCCTGCCACGGGTCGATTCCCTGCTCGGGAGACTGGGACAGGACAGGCGTTGTGTGATCCGCGTCAGGCGCTGGTTCGAGCACGGTAATCCAAAATTTTGGATTCCCGCATATAGTATAGCACTTCCGCCTTCCCCGTTCCATATCTGGCCTCCCAGTTACTCGGGGTATAGGTCCGACGATATCAATGACTCCTTTCCTTGTCACGACTGTTTCCCCGTTCTGTTTCGATTGTCCAACATCCGTGATTGACTCGCTGCACCACATCCCCAATGACGGACCAACTTGAGCATGATCATGTTCAATCATGCTCAGAAATGGGACTTGAGATTCCACCATTTCTTCTCCCCGTACGTCACACCTTGCTCAGTATCCGTCTGGGGCAACACAACATCGTTCACCTCAGAACCATAAACCAAGCTTGGATTTCGCACCCTATCACCGACCTCAAACCAGCTCCCTGTCGGACTCAGCCCGGGAACCGGGAAGAGTCTGCACAACAAGTAATACACGATGCCGCTAACAATGAACCCGGCGAAGAAATTCAGCCTATAGATGTACGTGGCGCCAATGGGGACATCAGTGCCGACCGCGCCTGCGAAGCCGACCACATTGATGACAATGCCGCAGATGTAGGCGACGTACCCGCGCCATTGGAAGCCGAATACACCATAGTAAGTCCCGTCGCGCTCGGCGTTGTATAGGTCGCGGATCTCCAGGTAGCCCTTGCGCACGAAATAGTAGTCGATCACCATGGGGCCGGCGATGGAGGACAAAAATACAGAGTAGGCGGATAGGTAGGTGGTGAAGTTGGATGCGGAGGTGAGGAACTGCCAAGGGCAGATGGCGATGCCGATGACGGCGCAAATGTAGCCTATACGGAGAAAAGAGGTGAGAAAGTGGGAGGCAATTGGTGGTCGTATAAATATGAATGGTGGAACTTACCACCACGCCGGATGTTAATGAAGCGAGGAAGCAGAGCAGTGAGATCTGTGCCTGCGGAGATACTATTTGCGGCGATGTTGGTGCCTAGCTGTGCGACGACAAAGGCGGCGGCGATGAAGAACGTGCCGGCGCGGTCGCCGGAACTACCCACACCACCGGGCTCGCCGTTGGTGATGAAGTCTCGGAGCAGCTCCAAGGGGTTCCAAGTCGCTCCCTTTTCGGGGTAGATGACGGCCGATGCTGATCCAGCGATGATGCCAATGAAGGATGTCAACCCGAATCCCATGGGTATGGTGATTGCTTGAGGCCACAAAGCCGCCGAAGGTTTCGAAGCGAAACGAGTAAAGTCGGGCGCGTTGACGATGAGCGTGGCAAAGTTACTCACAGCGCTCATAATACCAGCAATAATGCCCCAGGCAAGAGCAGACCCGGACGCGGTCGACCCCTGACGCACGATGGGGCCTACGCCTCCTGCTCGGACAATCGACCAGATGAACAGCGCGATGCCGCCTATTGGTGCCACGATAGATTTAACGGTAAACAGATGACGGATCTTGTGCACTGGGAACCAGATAAACGGCAGAGAGCCGAGCCAGAAGAGGATAAAGGCGATCAAGTAGTTAACTGTGGCTCCCATGGCGACGGATCTGGTCAAAGTCGGTCGTTGGCCGAATGAGGGCCAGATACTGGCGATCATGAGGTAGACGCATTCACCTCCGATCCATGCCTGGACTCCGTACCAAATGCTAGCCGGAAAGTCATCAGAGAGGCTACAAATTGCGCGAGCTGCGCGAAACTTACCAAGCCATGACCGCTCTGTTCAAGACGGGCCACAGAGAGCCCCAGATACCGAAAGAGGCTCTGTTGACAATAGGGAAACTAATGTGATACTCCGCGCCGATTCGGCCGGTCAAGACGACGAAGAAGGCCGCAATCGAGTAGCCAATCCACACACAGAGCCATGCCTGCCACCATGAGAGTCCGACTTCCAGCGACGAGGCGGCAATCATCCAAGTATTGATATTGAACGAGTCGGCGATCCAGAAGAAGACAAAGTTCTTGTGGTGCCATTCCCTTCGCTCGGGTTCGACGGGCTTAAGATCATGGTTGGTAAGAAACAATTGCTTGTTGGTCAACCCAGGTTCGGCTTCGCATTCCTGTGGAATTTTATTAATAAAGAAGCTTCTGAGTTGGGGATGGGGCTCGCCTACCAGCTTGGAAACCCATCTGCGGCGAGGCTGCTCTTGTTGCAGAACGTATCCTTCCGGGCTCGACGACATGGATGCTGATTACCACGAACAGTATGGAGAAGTATTTTTCTTGGTTCAATCGTTCGACGAGCAGGTGCGATTAGGATTGTTCTTATATGAAACAATACTTGTTGCCCTGCTCATAATCGTTGTCCATGTCTTCATCTCGGTGTGACCTGATTCTCAAGGCTTGGTCACTGTCAAGGTTTGTCTTATCAGTTTCCAAGACTTGCCGCGCCTTTGCTTTATTGTTGGGGTAAAAGATTGACGTAAAGCGTTTAAAGGGTTGCAGGGCAGTGTACTCCGTAAAGAGAGGCACATCGACCGGGCCTAAGTGTGCGAGGCTGGTAAAGATAGGCTTTCCATCCAATGGGCAATTCTTTCGTAAGGATCTTGATCGAGGTTTGACAAGGTCACCTACAGGAGATCGGGCAGTCAAATTGGCTCAATCGACTTGTGTCATGGCTGAATGGGCCTAAAGCGGTCTCGCGCAACTTGTCGTCAAGCTTGGCGGCCTTGGTCGCCTGCAGAATAACATCATTGTGCACCCAGTGGCAACTGAGACGATTCTGTCAGGACTTTCTTCTTCTGCCTCCGTCTGGTGCTGGGCTTGAAGTTTATGCCCGTCGAGACTGGAGCAGTGGCATTCCCCGCGCGTACTGTACTCCGTATCGTCAATCGGCCTGCCGCTATTATCCCGCTTGGCCGCTTTGAGACTTGGCCGCTGGCAGGTTGGCCGTTTGGCCGCTGTGCTTCTTGGCTTCTTGGCTTCTTGGCTTCTTGGCTTCTTGGCCAGATAGCTCCACGTCCTCTCATTGGTAAACGACAAAACACCAATGATCCATGCGTTTTTGATTCGGGACGTACGGAAGGACCTATCTCCTCGAGACTACGGAGCCGCGCTGTTCGTGTTGATCGGGTGAACCAGTCTATGACCGCTACTGCTGCACCCAGACGGATATCAAAGACTAAGAGAGAGTGCAACGCCCGAAACCAGGGGCGATGCAGTTAGTGCGCGAGTCCGTACCATCATCGGTGAGAAAACCTCGAATACGAGAGCATTGGAACATAATTGTTTCTGCTACGGCGGCGGGTCAGCGGGTTAGGGAACTATTGATGAAGAGGCCTTGGCTCTCCTGAGAAGAACGCGCAGTCCAGTTGCGTGCGGGCTAATCGGGAGAGGTTTCAAGAATTGCTGGCTGATGACTGGGGCAGGTCCACAAATGCCCAACACAGATAATAATCCAAATCTAACTCGGCATGGGGGGTCAGGTTTTGGTGTACGTATATCCCGGGCGTTTGCAATAAATTCGACTCGGGCATGCGGACAGGGAGTGAACAGCATGGTTGTCAACATGTGATGAGCATTCAACGGGATGTTTGGCTCTTGATAGGGACCTGGACTTCCTCCAAGCTGGGTGTCTTAAGAGGTTGCACTGTTCTGAACGGAAGCCCATGGTGTACAGGGCTTTAGTCGAGCATCATGAGGGTCTAAAATACGTGCATCAATGACGTTCCCATTGCAAATCGAGAGCAGTGCGCCAAAAGCTTAGTATACACTTTCATCTGAACAAGCTTCACTGCACCACAGACTCCAAGCCAAACGCTCAAAAAGGACCTCTAGTCCGCTCACATGCATAGTTCGTTACTGACTGTCATAGAGAAATGAGACTCCCCGAGCCACCGTAGGTCCTTACATCAGAAGGAACTTTCCAGATAGTCTGTAACAAATTTCGCCAGTATCGCTACACTATACTACACTATACGCGACACGGAGTTCTAGGAGGTAGAACCGTGCTAGGCTAGTAGCAGTTCCGGCGTAGCTTAATCACCACCTAAGTTACACTACCTACAGAATAGGGGCTAAAGTCTATAGGACACTTTATACAACTATCGAGTCGCGGGTTCTATATAATTATTCAATGACGCGCGCCGCTTTAAAGCGGCGCCTAAAAGCTTATTTTACTCTTAACACGTAAGACGCTATTTCAACATCATTAAAGGTGTCAGATAAGCCATATAGTAAGTTTCCTAACTAAGTACTAGGTACTTTCACGATCTCTGAACGGTTCTCGAAATTACTACTTAGTGTTGCCAGACTCCTCATTAAGGAGAGCGCTCGTATGTAGATCGTATCCTTACAGACCGATGACCTGATAACGAGTGAAAGGTGATTTTCTCGACCATTCGTTGGATCTGCAATAAGGGTGAGACACGCGATGGAATAGAAGAAGGCTTTTCTGCGCTTCTGGCTTTCCGTGAACGGCAATGAAATGATCAAGGGACAGGACAGGACTCTTGGGCTCTTGCGCACATCTATGTCGCGCGACATAAAACCTAGAACTCCACTTTGATAGACCCACGGACGCTCGAGGCGGTTTGAAAAACACTCTATGCTTGCAATCTTCCCTTCCTTCTGGCTCTCATTTAGTCTACAGACAGTCTCGACTCCACGTGGCTGATCATGATCCCTCCTTAACAACATATTCATATAGACGTAGTACTTAAATTCAACTTATAAAGCTTGGGTACCTCAAGGGTAATAGCGGGTAGTCTCGGTGTAGTTTCCCTCCTTCTTCAACCTTTTGTTAAGTACCCAGTACTGGATGTTGGTGTACAGAGCGATAACGATAGCCGTAGAAATTAAGACAGTAATACCAGTCCAGCCGTTAGGATAGTTTGGCGCATCGTACCCTTGAAAGATCTGACTGCCGATGATGGAGGCAATATTGGCGGACATAATCATGAGAGCAAGGGTAATTGACCTTTCTCCCATTGATCTTGCGTTCAAGGATGCCCAAGAGATGTTGACAGCATCTGGATAGGAACAAATCAGCAATCTTTTGAAAACTAAATAAAAGGAGATTGTGTAATTTCACGGAGTGAAAGGCTTACGGAATGAGGTGCAGAAAGCAATCGTTAGAAGTAGAACGGCAAAACGTGCCTGCCTGTTATCCGTGTTGATGAGGAGTCGGCAACAGAGCTTTCTCGCATTAGCTTTAGGAAGTAGGTAGAGGCAAATGAGCCCATAGGCAGTACTAACCGTAAAAACCCAGAGAATTGTCAATGCTCCGAGAACTACTGGTCCACGACGAGAAAGTTTGTCCCTAGTAAATGACGAACGTCAGCAGAAGATGACAGAGTAAAGCAGAAGGGCATCCTACGCAATAAAACCACAGGAAAGATTGACGACAATCGAGATCCATGATCCAATTGATACCATCGCGTTCGAACGTAATCTCTCGTACCCTAAGGCTGCAACTAAGGAAGGCGAGTACGCGTTCATGGTTATTACGGGTGCCATTCCCGCGATGGTGAGAATAATGTGAGGAAGGAGCCTGACATTTGTGAACTGTACAGAGCGTAGTTAGATCTGGATGCCTTTGATGTTAGAGGTACAAAGATACTCACAGCTGTTTTGAATTCGTGGCCAGCAATGTTTTTCTTGGTTTGGATCTTTGTTCTGTCGTCGAGTAGAACTCTCTGGGTCAAGATGTGGTTCTCCCGTTCGTTAAAGTAGCGAATTCCTATCCGCGTGGACGACTCGCGGGTACTAATGGGAAAGAAGCAGAAGAAGACGACTCCCACGAGGATTGTAAAGATGCCCTCGAGCTAGGAACCAAACTAGGTCAGTACAAATCACAGCAAAAATTGGTGATACACCTACAATGAATAGCCACTGCCATCCCGCCAATCCGCCAATACCTCTCATTTGCAATCTATTAGGAAGTTCAGCGGCCTGGGGTTCCACAAGATGCTGAAACACTCACATGCCGTAGGCTATAAGGCCCCCGCTTCCCGTTCCAATTGGACTGCCGAGGAATAGAATTGCAAATCGTTTACTGGTTTCGTCTCGTTTGTACCACTGCGTGATCACCCATAGCACGGCTGGAATGAAACCAGCCTCAGTCATGCTAGAATCGTTTATTAGTCTGCCAAAGCTCGATTGATCAGGGTTTAAGCCAACTTTGACCTACCCAAGAAGTAACCTTGTCGCTATGAAACCACCCGTGTTTGTTTGAAATGCTTGGAATGTGGCCACAAGTCCCCTTGGACGTATCAAGATTAGAGCTTTCACCAGAAAAAGAGAGAGATCAATAGTCTTACCATGCGACAATCTGTACACTAATCCACCACGAGGGCCCAACACGGTACAGGATATAATTACTTGGTATCTAAGATTCAGGTCAATTGACGCCTTGTAGAATTCGTCGGGCTGACAGACTTCAAGTAACACAATCCCAAGAGATAGAAGCTGTTGGCCGACGTTGAATTGAGCCTGAGTAATGCCCACATCCCGAAAGAAAAAGTCTGTCAAGGCACTCCCACTTTTCAGAAGTCAGCAATGTGCAACTACCGATCGGGGAAGGCGTACATGTTTGCTCGATCGAGTTGCAAGACATAAAAGCCCAGCAAGACGAGAGGCAAAACGATAAAATCGATCCTAATAAAGAGAATTTGTTGTTAGCCACCGGCAATCGAAAGACCTTGGGAAGGTTGAAATCCCCTTACTTTCGAACGAGCTTCTTTTCTTCTTCTTCTGTCCAGTCAGGAACATCTTGCTCGGCAGCGTCATTTCCTGAAGAAGAAGAAGACCCCATTTCCTTGGTAGCGATGTCTTCGGGTACCTTCTCCGAGATCTCCATCATATCGGAAGTCATCATCGCAGGATGATTTGGTTTTCTGGAAGTAGAAGATCGAAACTCTTCTCGACGGAATGAAGAGATAGGTTGTACTGGGTTTGCTAGCTGAAGATGCAGGGTTGTTGATCAAGATATAACAATGCATCTATCCGGACAGCCCGTTACACCTCATGTCGTCGAACCCCTTCAAGATGCACATCATATTGATAGGGAGCAATATCTCTTGCCGCCTTCATCTAGGTTGTGTTTATCAAAAATCTAACCTATGGAGTTTACCCAATTTCAACTCACCCTAGCATGATGCCGGAAGATATTCGAAGCTAGCTTTTAGCGAGAAGGTTAGTGTAGGTATTAAAGGCTGCTATTGGTTGCTAGCTCCCGTGCTAAGCCAGTACAAAATCACAGCCAGATATCTTTCTTTTCAATCCGAGTCATCTTATCGCTATACTTATCTCACTTATCATTTCCGGCAACGGCATGAGAACTGC